GTAACTGTCTCTATTTTCCGCTTGTAACAACTTGTAATAAAGTTGTTACATCTAGGCTTAACGTGTTTATGACGTATTAGAACGTTGTTACAACTTGCTATATTGATTGTTATAACTGGTTAGGAGGGGTTAAAACTTGTTCGAACGTTGTACCAACGTCGTAGTTTCGGTGTGTTTGGCGGGATATATACAGTAGTTCCCTTCCCCATTCCAAAGACCTGCCGCGCTGCTGTGTCCTCCTCTGATGCCTATATAAAAGACACATCGAACACTTTATGTAGGGCATACGTAAATCTGTGTATTTATGTACTTACGTATGTAGCTTAGCCTAGCATTTTAAAAGCACTACAATCACCTTCTGTGGTTGATTGTTCAATAAATCTCTGAACTATATGTTTAACAAATCTCTAACCCTGTCCATAGAGGACAGAAGAAAATGTATATATATATGCTGGTTAGCATTGTTAATGTGTGGCCACGTCTGTGATAGAAACTAATAATAATAATAAACAAAAAAAAGCTTTCTAAAAAAAGGCACTACGGGCTCACCATAGCCCGTGTTACTTGGAACTTTTTGTTCCAGGTGGCGAATCTTTAACAACAACAGCTTTCTCACCCACTGCAGGGGTTATGGTGTGAGGATGTTTAACATTAGGGGGGCAGGGTGTGTACAACATTAGGGGGAAGGGTGGGTACAACATTAGGGGGCAGGGTGGGTACAACATTAGGGGGCAGGGTGTGTACAACATTAGGAGGCAGGGTGGGTACAACATTAGGGGGGCAGGGTGTGTACAACATTAGGGGGCAGGGTGTGTACAACATTAGGAGGCAGGGTGGGTACAACATTAGGGGGGCAGGGTGTGTACAACATTAGGGGGGCAGGGTGTGTACAACATTAGGGGGCAGGGTGTGTACAACATTAGGAGGCAGGGTGTGTACAACATTAGGGGGCAGGGTGTGTACAACATTAGGAGGCAGGGTGGGTACAACATTAGGGGGCAGGGTGTGTACAACATTAGGGGGCAGGGTGGGTACAACATTAGGAGGCAGGGTGTGTACAACATTAGGGGTCAGGGTGTGTACGGGCTCACACACAGCTGTAGTAAGGACTGTTTCAGGCCTAACACTGTTGTACAGTGTTCAATATTTATTACATCCATAGCATGATCCTTTTTCATCAACTTTTTAGTTTTCTAATAACACTCCAAAATTTATAGAACCCACACATTGACAGCCTAACAGCAACCTTTGATCTCACATTATTTATTATCTTTCCATTTCTTAATGCCCTGAATGGCTTGGTCATAGTGTACCCTTGTGCTTCATCTGCTCTATAACAGCCAGCCAACTCTGGCACACCTCACATCTTTCCATCTGTAACTAAGAGAATGTCTCTGAGGATGGAGGCCAGATGCTTGCAGGTAGCCTCATGCAACTTTCCTCTTTTTATTTTTCATTGTATGGGTGTAGGGATCGACTCCCGTGCCCCCACATTAAGTAGGATTAGCTCCTATTGTTATAACCAACGACGCCTTTGAAGTCTGAAATGGGGTTTTCAACAGGTCTTCAGCTGTTCGTCATACACAACGTAACCACTAAACTTATAGTGTTGCATCATAGTAACAATAGTAAAAATACCGTTATGGTGATGTTGTGTGTTTGCTATGTGCTCCTAGAAACTCGACATAAAATTTTTAGTAGCACAAACGCACATACGGATACTACAGTTTGAGCGTCACTAGATCTAAATACAACGTCCCACTATGTGATCAAGAATAATCACACTTTTGTTAAACCAATATTGAGTTGATAGTGCTCAGTCAGCCCGTCCTGAGCGTTCCCAACGTCTAGAAACTGTCGTACTAGAATGCCCTGAACCTAAACCTAACCCGAGGACCCACGAACAAACGGGACATCGCGTCAATTTCGCGAGCCGCTACCATTTTTTGTACATATGTTTTTGGTCTTATTGTAAAGTATACGTCGAAACGCGATGTACTATTGGAGAACGGGTTGGCTCAATACCCCTTACAATACTCTCAAGGCTCCCCATACGCTGGGCTAATGGGGATTTTTTTTTTCTTGTCTTTAAAACAGGACATGGTTACCAGCACCTGGTCATGATTGATATGTGATCCAACAATAGTTAATACACTTAAGTAACACCATGAACTCCAGCATTCCCCATATTAAGTATATGAGATGGATACTAAAAATCAACACAATGATAATTATACCACATATTTCAGTGTTGATTATTTACATAACCATTACACGAAATAATGGTAAAATTAACAAAATAAAAATTCAGCCAATAAAATTGACACAAGAGGAAAGTAAGATAATCACAGTTGACACCGATGCTAGGCTTCACCTCCCAGCGAAACTTCAATTGTCAGTATGCCAACATCTCCACTACCTGTAGTTTATCTGTACTTGGTTCCCAGAGTTTTTCGGCTCCCAAAACCCAGCTTGAGGCTAAGCTTCTCATATGATAACTTGATCGGTATGGCTGTTGCTTGGAGCGGCCCGCATCCCCGCGTATACATTACACTCCAGTTAGTTCTCCACGTGATCTTGAAGAAATTTGTCAAATTATGCCTTCAAGACGTCCATTTGTATTTCGGCATTATTTATCGGGTAATTATTCACAGTGATGCATAACCATATATACTAATATAAATACTTAAGATGCGAATGTCAAATAAGGACTAAAAGGTTAATGAACTTAGGACACAGGTTTTTTCCAAAGGGCAAATCAAATTCAAGTTAGGTCCTGCAAACTAGGTTAGTTATACACACACGCGCGCGCGCTATTGCTCTTTCTTTCCATCCCACATTCTCTATTATCCCTCTTTTTCACCTCCTCCCCCTACTCTCTCTCTCTCTCTCTCTCTCTCTCTCTACCCACTCCCACTCTCCCTGCCCTCCACATATTAAAACATTCACCACCCCTCTCTCCACCCCTTGTGTGGTGTCCCTCCCCCCAGCACCGCCTCCCACACGGCTCCACCAGTCTCTCTAATTATCGCCGGCCACCCTCATCACTGACTCAATTATCGCCTACTATACCCTCTGGGAGCCCACGATTACCACTCTCTTACGTTCGCTATTGCTCTAATTACTCACTAAATTCTTGCATTACTCTCACATCCATCATACCAGCTCGTTCATCCCATTACAGTGGTGGTGGGATGGGAGGGGGGGGAGGGGCAGCCACATATGTATGTATGTGTATTCACCTAGTTGTATTCACCTAGTTGTACTTGCGGGGGCTGAGCTCTGCACTTTCGGCCCGCCTCTCAACTGTCAATCAACTGTTTCTAACTACTCCTACTATTTTTTTTCCTCCACACCCCACACACACACCCCAGGAAGCAGCCCGTGACAGCTGACTAACTCCCAGGTACCTATTTACTGCTAGGTAACAGGGGCATAGGGTGAACGAAACTCTGCCCATCGTTTCTCGCCGGCGCCCGGGATCGAACCCGGGACCACAGGATCACGTATCCAGCGTGCGTGCGTGTGTGTACTCACCTAGTTGTGTTTGCGGGGGTTGAGCTCTGGCTCTTTGATCCCGCCTCTCAACCGTCAATCAACAGGTGTACAGATTCCTGAGCCTACTGGGCTCTATCATATCTACACTTGAAACTGTGTATGGAGTCAGCCTCCACCACATCACTTCCTAATGCATTCCATTTGTCAACCACTCTGACACTAAAAAAGTTCTTTCTAATATCTCTGTGGCTCATTTGTGTGTGTGTGTGGGGAAGGGGGTAGCGCCTGATGCTAAGAGATCAACTACTAAGAGCAGTTCATTGATCCTGTCAGCATTTTCAAAAGCAATGGTGAAGTGGGTACAAATTAGCTGTTGTTGTTTTAGATTCAGCTAATCGGAACAAAAAGTTCCAAGTAGCACGGGCTATGGTGAGCCCGTAGTGGACTTACCTGCCAAAGGAGCAGGGCTGTATGAATATTGGCTGGAACCATCGTATGTATAACAAAGAGGGGTGAGATGAAGTAAGGATCGCGAGCTAATCGGCCTTCTGCAGCTCCTTAATTCATATGTTCTTATGCTGGCAAGTTAGTGGGTGTTGGACATTCTGTCTTGGTCTTGATGATGGTAGAATGTACCCGAGCAAGGCGCTGGCTCTTCATAGTGGTTGTTCATTTAGGCATCACTAATTCACTCCACCTCAATGGTTTACTAGGCTGACGAAAGGCATAAGATTCGTTTAATCAACACAGCATTAATCATCAAATTATTATTATTAGTCTATCTAATTAGATTTGATTCAGTTACATTTCTATTAATACAATAATGGCTATGGGTTAATCTCTTAACATTAGACCAGTTAATCTGATGCCCCTCATAAATGATAAAATAAAGCACTTGATTTGTGGCCTATCCTGACACTATACTTATGCTGCTCTATGTATTTCACCAAGAGTTTTCCCCATTGACCAGTATACACTGTATCACATTCTTTACAAGGTATTTGATGCACATTTACTAGTAGATTTACGATAAATTCTTAATCAACATATTTTTACCATACTCACATTATTGTATTAAAACCCACATTGATATTGAAAATGCGTAAGTGTTTCTTACGTAAGTGTGTTAAAAGTCACTAGTGTTAGTGACCCTCAGGTAAACTCAGGTAAGATATTTGTGCCACATTTTCAGCATCATAATCCTGTGAGATTGATTGTTAGTTCAGTGAGATCTGTTACTTATAAAATGTCTAAGTTCCTTGTGCAGTTACTTAAGCAAAGTACTTTTCGCCATTGTTTTGTGTTACATTATGATAGTTACTTGGAGAAAGTACTGTACTCAATAATGCTGTGTGCTGTATCCCATAACTGGTTACTCAGGAAACATCTTATTTGTCATTGCTGTGTATTACCGATTAGTTACATATGCAAAGTATTACTGTACTTAACTTGTATTTTACATCTCATGTCATGCAGTTACTCAGTGAGTCCCATTCTTGCAGTGAACGTGGTGGAGGCACTACAGGAGTTTTGGCAAATGAAGGCCCAGCGGGGGGCAGAATTGAAGAATGGTGCACTTGTCATCTACGAGTCAGTTCCATCCTCCTCCCCGCCATATGTCTGCTACGTCACGCTTCCAGGAGGATCATGCTTTGGCTCCTTCCAGGTATGTCACCCCACTCTCATTTTATTGCCTTATATGATCTACGGTCAATACACTTAGTAAAATTATAACAGGACAGTCTTAAGTACCTGGATTGGGTTTTGGGAGTTCTACTCCCTGAGATCGGCCCAGGGCCATGCTTGACTTGAGAGCTTGGTTCAACAGGCTCTTGCTTGGAGCAGCCTGCAGGCCCACATATCCACCACAGCCCAGTTGGTCCAGCACTTCTTGAAGAAAACTATCTAGTTTTCTCACTTCTCCACATTTGTTCCAGCAATATTCCTTATAATTGCTGGGAGGATGTTGAACAACTGTGGACCTCTGATGTTTATACAGTGTTCTCTGATTGTGTCTTTGTCACCCTTGCCCTTCACTGGTTCTATTCTGCATTTTCTTCCATATCGTTCACTCCACTATGTTGTTGTTTTAATGTGTAGATTTGGGACCTGGCTCTCCAGTATTTTCCATGTGTATACTGTATTATTTGATCTCTCTCTCTCGTATCCTTTCTAGGGAGACGAGAAAGAGATCTCGTTTTAAAACTCTCCATTTGGAGAGCTTTAAAACAATCCCAATAATTTAGGTGCTTTATCGTGTCTATGTATGCTGTATATGTTCTCTGTCATCTACGCAGCCCTTTATTTCAGCAATCTTCTGCTATGAAAGGGATAGTGAGTATTGAGCAGTGCTCAAGATGGGACAGCACAGGTAATTTGAATAGTAAAGTACAGTATAACCATTGTGATGGGAAGTGTATAAACCCCCTTGCACTGATATCATGTTGGGAGTCTGTTACTTTTGTATTGTCTACAGTTTCAGGTAGATAATGAACTGTATTGGTGGCTCTTGAGTTGACAATGACCAAGATGCTATCCAGGGTTCGGACACTACTAAAATGTGAAATACTGTAATTGTTTTTCTCGATGCTAGAACCATTGTTATAGCTCATTATTCAACACTGACATTAAATATAATCTGGACACAGCATCGTGATTTGACTGCAACAGGTGATCATGTGGTAATACGTGCAAAGGACACAGAAAATTAATGTAGTGTTCCAGACAACCTGTCATCCAAAAATGATAGTATTGTACCTATATTTACTATGGAAAGAAGTACAGTACTGAAAGTCCACCTTTTATACTATGTGTGTTAATTTTGTAGAGGACACAAAATGTCCATCATTCTCACTGATGGTCTCTCAGTTGTGTCCTAATTTTGCGGAGTAAACTGTTGATAACGTGTCCTTATGTAGGCTTTTCAAGATATTCAATAGCCCCGAGATAGACCTTTTTGCCTCTGCATGGAACCGGCATCTTCCTTTCTATATGGCTCCATTTCCTAATTGTGAGACTCTCCGTTGGATGCCTTTCAATTGGGCTGGTCAAGATGGGGATTCATATACTGTACCTCTTTTCCCCAGTTCAGTTGTTGTTCTGGGTGCTGTCCAGACTGGAGTTGTACTTGGGCAAGATGGTCCCTCTGGCCCCTTGGTAGCTGCCTCAGCCTTGGCTTCCAGCTCTTCTGGCCCAGTGTCTGGACCCGGGCATTTTTCTGCAGCTCCACCTCTATCAACAGATCGGCATGGTGCCGTACTTCACTGGTTCGACCTTCTCTGCTCTATGCATCTTGAGATTCTGACATGGGTCTATCACCATTTGTATGGAATGCTGCTGGGTTTTTGGTGCCCCACCTGTTTCTCTCTTTGCAGTGGCAGTAAATTGCCTGGCACTTGTTTCACAACTTTGTCCCTTCATCATCTTTCTTCAGTGTCAGTCCAGATGGTCCTGTCCTTTTTATAATTTTTTTTTTTGGGGGGGGGGATTTGCATCATATGCCTAATACTGTTACCTCTTATTGTTCAGCATTGGCAGAGCTACCATTGCCTATTTGGCAATAATATGGCTTTGGCACTATTCCACAAGTTGTCTTGGGCATTCTTTTACCTCCAGCTGGCTCATGATCTTCCTCAGCCATCTTGGTCTCTTGACAAGGTGTTGGTGTTTCTTTCCTCACCTCTGTTAATGGTTGCCACTTCAATCAGGGATATTTTTTTCAAGGTAGCATTTTTGTTGGCTCTTGCCTCTGGCTGCAAGGTTGAGGAACTTTATGCACTTCTCTGGAAGTAGGGATTTTGTTCCTTCAGCCTAATGACCAGTTTGTTCATTTGCAGCCTTCTCCTTTTCTGGCGAAGAATGAGTCATCTGGTTTCCGGAGGAGTCCTTTGGTGGTTGATAATTGGTCCAGCCAGGGGTGTATCATTTGTTGTCTGGTAATTACCTAAGTGTAATTACCTAAGAGTAGTTACAGGATGAGAGCTACGATTGTGGTGTCCCATCTTCTCAGCACTCTTTTTCATATAACACTTTGAAACTACTGACAGTTTTGGCCTCCACCACCTTCTCACCTAACTTCTTCCAACCGTCTACCACTCTGTTTGCAAAAGTGAATTTTCTTATATTTGTGGTGGTGCTTTGCTGCTACCTGCATGCCATTGATTCTGCCACAGTGGATGCCTTGTTGGTATATCCTATTTCCTTGGTTCCCCTTTCCAAGCTTATATTTCTCAGGTTGTCTGCTGTGCCATCAATGCTAGCCAACTTGCAGTATACCCTTGGACCCATGATATTCTGCATTGGCTGCTGTTTTTTTCTAATGTGTAGTGGGCTGATATTCGGGCTTAGGGTTTTTTGAGCTCTAACAGGGTAAGGTATCTGGTATTTGGTGAATGTCCCTAGCCCCAATCGGTCTTGTGTGGAGCTGGGCAGAGTTACCCAGCTCTCAGTCTCATCAACCTATTTCCTGTCATCTTTCTTTCTCCCTGGTAAGTCACTTGTTTTCCTTTTCCTCTTGTGAGTTAGCTTTGTCAGGGCACCTGACAGCTGAGTGGACAGTGCTTCGGATTTGTAGTCCTGAGGTTCCGGGTTCGATTCCCGGTTGAGGCAGAGACAAATGGGCAAAATGTTTCTTTCACCCTTCTGCCCCATAACAAAAACAGTCCAGGATGACCAGCATTTATCTGAAAAAATTCTTCTTCCTCCTCTGGAGGAAGAGGAATTTTTCTCCTCCTTTGGAGGAAGATGAGCGTAACTGTGAATGTTCAAGATGTCAGTACCAGGCAATAGGACTGAAGTGTCAGGGTTGATAGATTGAGGAGATAGGTGTGCAATCCCTGGTGTATAGGTGAAACTAACAAGAAAATTGCTTCACCACCAAGCTGTTCTTGAATCTTGGTGCTATGCGGTCTCATTTTCTATGCTTTGTTTACCTTGATGTTTGTGTTTTGGTTTGCCCACCTTTGTGGTGACTTTTTTTTTTATTGTTAGGATGGTCTACGATCCCCCCTCCCCCCCTGCTCCATGCACCTATTTAAAAGGGACATGGCATGAATTGAGTTGGGTGGAGCATTCCAGGTAACAAGCATCAAGGAGCCATCAATTGGAGCCTTCCCAGAAAACATAGTTATCATCCTCATATTCAAACCACAAGATGCAACCTTGAAAGCCCAATATATAATGAATATTATCCTACTAAGAAACTTCACCTTTTCCAAATTTGAGGTGAAATATGATAGAGGAAAATATTATAATAGAAGAACTGTTCAGAAGTAGTCTTAGATTAATAAGCTACTATTGTGGGTTGCATCATAGAGACCTCTTTAAGCCTTATAAGGAAGGTACTGTCCCTGTAATTGGGACCCTTGGTCTTTTTTTATTCAGTTTTAACTTATAACTGTTTTACCCAGTTGAAATTCGATTTCTGATTTATTAAAATATGCAATTATTTCAGAACTGTCCAACGAAGGCTGAGGCACGTCGGAGTGCTGCCAAGATTGCTCTCATGAACTCTGTCTTCAATGAGCATCCCTCACGTAGAATCTCTGATGAATTCATTGAAAAGGCTGTAGCTGATGCCCGTGCACAGTTCAAGGTAAGCATCCAAGGGCAACTGGACTCTTTTCTCATAACATCTCATAAGTCTGATGATACTGTATAGTTTGTGATTCAGGTAATTCGGGTAAAGCCTAAAAACAGGTAAAATCTTGCAGACCTTATGAAGTGCAGACATCACCTTACATTATAAGAGTGTGGCAAAGGTTATCTGGAAAGAAACAATAGTGTGGGTAATAACATATCATCCATTTGGATCATCAGAGATTCAAACTCAGGCCTTAAAAGCAAGTAGGACAGTGGTCTTGTGTGTTGAGACCCACGATTAAATGATAACCAAACCACATACCAGAAGATGAAGAAATGATGATGTTTCAACTGGACCATTATCAAGTCGTATGTGATGGCCCATCACATACGACTTGATAATGGTCCAGGGCAGACCAAAATGTCATCATTTCTTCATCTTCTGGTGTGTGGTTTGGTCATCATATCTTCAGCCACATTATTGTGACTCATTGTCTCCACAATTAAATCATTCATGATGAAATCAAAATAAATGAGATTAAAAAGAAATAGGAAATATCATACGTATGTGATAAACATTGTTAACAAAAAATTTAATTTCAGATACAGTATTAAACAGTATTAAAAAAGTAAAAGCAGATGAGCTCTTTAATTCAGACAAAAATTGTCTTTTTTGTTGATGTAAACAATACTGACATTATAAACTAGACAATACTGACAAGCTACAAACTTTTGCATTTAAATTAAATATGTAGTCTTCTGAGGAAGTGTTTCAGGTGTTAGTCATTAGCGGATTCCTCCGCTATAAATGTTACATAACCTTTTTAATTTAATAAAACGTTAAAGAATATTAGTTTATATATTCAGAATGTTATGTATTTTATCAAATAGCAAATATCTTACAGAATAAAATGTACTAAATATTCAAAATGCAGCTTGTCAATTTTTCATCTTTATAAATACAGTGGAACCTCGAGAGACGAGCGGCTACATCTATGAGCATTTCGAATAATGAGCAAGCCACTCCCCGAAAATTTGTCTTGATTGACGAGCTTCTGCTCCATTAACGAGAAAACCATGTGGTGCTTTCTAGCGTTTCGGCTGGTTCTCGCAAATTCTCGGACGCTTCTGACCATGCAAATAAATTATTTTTTTAATAAGATGCTAATGATGCTGGGATGTAAATGGGTGACTGCTGTAATGTTGCAAAGCATTGATTTTTTTTTTTTATTTTTTTTTTTTTAAATTAAACATTTTGAAAAAAGAACAAATGTCAAAAGGGTTCATTAAGTGTATGTCAGGTAGGCTGCTCCATTTCTATAAAAAATGAAAAAAAAAAAAAAAATGAAAAATTTCATAAAGGTTTATTCAGTGTATGTCAGGTAGGCTGCTCCTACCTCCTGCTCCAATTTCTATAAAAAAACGAATAATAAAAAAAATTGAAAATGTCATAAAGGTGCCTGACAGCTGAGTGGACAGTGCTTCGGATTCGTAGTCCTGAGGTCCCGGGTTCGATTCCCGGTGGAGGTGGAGACAAATGGGCAAAATGTTTCTTTCACTCTCATGCCCCTGTTACCTAGCAGTAAATAGTACCTGGGAGTTAGACAGCTGCTACGGGCTGCTTCCCGGGGGGTGTGTAACAAAAAGGAGGCCTGGTCGAGGACTGGGCCACGGGGACGCTAAGCCCCGAAATCATCTAAAGATAACCCAAAGAAGGTTCATTCAGTGTATGTCAGGTAGGCTGCTCCATTTTCTATGACAAATAAAAAATAAAAAAAAATGAACAATTTAAAAAATGTCATAAAGGTTCATTCAGTGTATGTCAGGTAGGGTGCTCCATTTTCTATAAAAAAAATGGAAAAAATTTAACAAATTTGAAAAAAGAAAAATGTCATAAAGGTTCGTTCAGTGTATGTCAGGTAGGCAGCTCCATTATTTAAAAAATTGAATATCATATTGATGTTTTTCGGTGGTAGACCGGATTAATTTTATTTCCATTATTTTAAATGGGGAAATTTGTTTCGAAAGACGAGCGTTTCACATGACGAGCTCTGTGCCGGAACGGATTAAATTCGTTAATCGAGGCTCCACTGTACTGTATAATAATTACCTTTTTAGCTACAATTTTTATTAAAGTACAGTATGTACTTAAAATATAGCTAATTTTCATTTGGGAAGTTCTGTCCACCTGTTCGGCTTTCGGTTGCAACACTTTTACCAGAATAGAGGTTTGTTTTGGGGGCCCCTATCTTTCTGGGTGTCTGTCCCGGTCAATGGCAGACTTAGAATGCTCCCAACCACAGGGGAGTCTCAATAGGCCATTGCTCCTCGTGCCTCTCTAGAAGGGGCCAGGTTCTGGCTCGTGGTCCCCGGTAGGCAAGAACTCCATGCATTGACTTTTGCTAGAAAGATATACATATCCATTCAGCCTAAATAGCTCCGGGAAGCCTCCGGGACTCACCCAGAAAATGGCGTTTCATTATATTCAATGCTGGTTCTTTACACATTTTTTTTTTAAATGAACAATGTGTACTGTATTGCCCTCTATAGTAAGAAAATTGTCCATTCATGATGTTAATATAGAATGATATATTTATTATAAGCATTTTTTCATCTTAATTTTTTTCTCTCAAAATTAAGTGACAAGGCAATAAAAGATTGAGCAGGATGCAAGGTATATTTTTCTTTCCAGCACGTAGCTGACTTGTCCCTCCCCCAGGGTGACCCTGATGAGGCTGACAACCCCAGCACGGGAATCGGTGCCTTCCGCTTCATGCTAGAGACCAACAAGGGCCGCACCATGCTGGAATTCCAGGAGCTAATGACTGTCTTTCAGCTTTTGCACTGGAATGGATCACTTAAAGCAATGAGGGAGAGGCAGTGCTCCAGGCAGGAAGTAGTAGCACATTACTCCCATCGTGCACTTGACGATGACATGCGTTCACAAATGGCACTCGACTGGATTGCTCGAGAGCAGGAAAACCCAGGCGTGATCTCTAGGGAACTGGGTCAGAGTGAGCGGGAGCTTGAGGCTGCTCGCTTGGCTGGTCGTGAGCTTCGCTTTCCCAAGGAGAAGAAGGACATTATGATGCTTGCGTGCTCGCAGCTGTCACCATCTCCTCTGGACCCATAAGGCCAGGGGCAAGGGACACCTGCCACAGTGATATTAGCACCAAGGTGTAGAGGTTAATGCTTTCATCTCTGCAAAATCAAAGCTAATTTACTTTTTATTGTTGTAAAGATTATGTTTTGTACTGTTTTCTTGTGTGTGCATGTAAATAATGTAAATAATCATTCCAAAGAATTTTATTATGTAATTATAATAATATTAAGCTTGTGTGGGGTGCATTAGTGAACCCCACATTAAAAACGCACCCCTGGGATATCATTGTGCTGTTAGGTAGAGCCGCCAGGCACTGGCTGCTGCAACACTACACTGCTGGCCTCACCAATCTGCAAGATTTGCTGTGCTTATTATGCCAACACTGGCTTATATATGCACAATCTTTATACTGCTCATCAACTAATGTCAATAGTTTAAAAGAACAGTTTATTATTAGTAATATCCGTGATGTTCATTGGGTGCAGAATTTTGTATTTGTCAATACTGTACATCAAATTTGATGCATCCTACTTTTGTATCCTTCAGTATAGTTGCTCATATCAGCAGTGCAATTCTGTAGTTAGCAAATGCACCATAAAGGATTGTGTTGGTATGAAATGTACAGGGTATGTCCCTCTCCTAGAAATTATATATACAGTACTGTAGTTGTGATAGTTTGCTGTATAATTTTGCTGCACTTCCAAGCTGCCAGTAGTAGGAGTCAGAGGCCTGTGAAGTGTGCAACACAGTGTTTTTGCTGTATGGTACAAGTCAGGAGCCTGTGAGGAGTGCAGCAGGTTTCTTGCTACATCTCCAAGCTATCAACTGTACAGTTTAGCAGCCTATGACATGTGTAGCACAGTAATGTGTCTTCAACTCTGAGCTGTCAATTATACAAGTCAGGATTCTGAAGTATCCATCATGATGCTCTTGCTGTACTTCCATGCTGTCAGTGATACAAGTCAGGAGGCTGAGAGGTATTAAAATGTTTTAAGGGAAGCAAAGGGCAACAGGAGGTGCAGATTTCCTAGCAAAAGCAGCAGTGCACCACAGGATGAACCAACATTATTACTCTCCAGTAATCATAAGCTGTATAATTATAAGCCAGTGCCTTCAGTTTCTGCTGCAAGCACCAGGGTTTGGCAAACTGTACAAGATCTCATTTGCTGAAACGTATTAGGAGACTAATGCGTTATGTGCTGACTTGTTTTTTTATGCTTTGTTAAGTTGAAATTGTGTAATCTCTCTGACTACGACACAGTTGGCTTTTTACGTACAGAGTTATTCAACTATGCTTTGGATGAGTTCTGATGTTTTCCTTTTGCATTAACAAGCTGGGAGTTTATGCTGTTGCCAGTGTCATGGTTGTGACGGTGTCATGCTGCGCTTAACACTTTCAGTAGTTCGGTTTTTAATACTTCTTTGTTCTAAGAAAAGGACATTAATGAAGGCAATTGTATCCACAAAACCCTATAATTTATTGACTTTTGTTTTCTACTAGAAATGTAAAATCAGGAAGATAAGTCTAGTGGTAATAGCTTCCCAATTTTTTTCCGGGAAGAATTTTGCTCCAGCAGTACGTAACAACCACTGTTTTCGCAGTTCGTGTAGAGACCTACACTTATGTTTGTGATGCTGCTTGTGTGTAAATTAATAATGTCCTCTCCTTAAGTGATAAGAGAGGCAAGTGGCACATTGTAAATTTAAACCTTCCCTATAGTTTGTGATGTCTTGTACGTAACGTAATGTAAGTTCTCCCAATGCTTTACATTCCCATGATTTTTATATGTGTAGTGTGAACTGACTTTTTCATTGTTGATTTTGTTAATCTAGGACTTAGCAAGTCTGAGAGTGCAATGCACTTCGTGGCTACAGAGTCTGTGCAATATGAATGAAGTGTTTGTGCAATTGATGTTTGTTGAGCATACTGGCCTGGAAGGTTGCAAGGTACCCATGGAGTTTCTCTGCAAAGTCTTCAATAAACTGAACTTTCATTATCCCATACACCATGTCCATAGCAATACCAGTTAGTTCTTGCTGTGAACAAACTTCAGTGCCAAATTAACTGTGCCAATCTCAGTGCCAATTCCTGGATTTTTATTTTGAATTATGAATAATATAGCACAAGGTTTTTTCCAGTGCCAAAAGCAAGATATGAAGATAATGAAAGAAGAATGATAAACAAAATTCCAGGCTGGTGGTGGACCCTAAGACAATCTTTCTGTAGACATTCTGCTTTCACTCACTGGGCTTATAGAGATTAATGGAACTGGATCATGCAGAATATAAACTTAATAAAAAGCTGCATATGGCCCAAGTTGTTTTAAAAGAAAAGTGAAGGACATATATTGTTTTCTTATTGTTTGTGAAGTGGAGAATTCACACAAAGTAGAAGTCGAGGAGAGGATATGAAGACTTACAGATCTCTGGGGATTATAAAGCACCTCAAGCACTCGGCATTAACTTTAATTGCTAGTAAGGAAAATTCAAACCACTTTGAGATAACTACCCTATGAATAAATATATCTAAGCTGGCATATATTACTAGTTTTAAAAAGATATGTTTACAGTAGCGAAGAGTTCATGATTGTTTGTTCATTTTAGTTTTGAAGAGTTCATTTAATTTTTATGATTGTTTGTAGAGAGTAAAAACCGGCCCCAGAGGTCAGTACACCTTCTAGAATTACCTTCCCCTCCAGTGACAAGCCGCTGGCACTGTTAACCCCTTCTGCTCGAGGCCAACTGGTGACCATTGTTAATTCAGTAGTGTGATGATATCTTAATTATTAAGGATATAATGAATCTTTCTAATTATCAATGCTAGTCTGATATTGTAATTTCTCATTATTTATGGTTATATTGATGATAATATTAACAGTATACTAAAGTTTATAAATTACAAATTACCAAGGTAATGAAACGAAGATATCTAACCTGCAGTTGAAGGATACATGTAAACTGTTTAACTTATAGATATACATTTTTAAAGTTGTCCACCTGTATGTAGCAAAATTATGCACTTAAAACCTAAATAACAAATGGAGATGTTCTGAAGCTGCACTTTTGAAGAGGCATTCATTTTGTGGACTTGAATAATGTTTTCAAGCTGCTTTTAAAAGTAGTTGGCATAAGACATCAAATGTTCATGGTCCAGTTGTATTTGTTATACTCGAAAGTAATATTTAATCATAAGGCTGTGATAGTATGTTATTTCACATTACTGTATAATCACTCAGCTGGTCAATTACATTTTAACTAAATGCTATTGACTAAGATCTTCACTAGAAACAAGATACTGTACTGTATAACAGCACATGGGAACTGTCCCAGTACTACAGGAATCTATGGACATTTGATGTCAGTGATCAAGGTTTTAAGTATAATCACAGCTGAAATTTTAGCAGAAAGTTGAGATTGACAACATTAAACTAGAAAAGAGAAAAGGCTTATTGTGTTTGCAGACTGTACTTTCCAGTCTGATCTGTACTCTAATTTGTGAATTATCAGCAAATAGATGATAGAATTGTACAGTACTTCAGAACCATTTATTTTACCTTCCTGATTTTCTTGTTTGACCATGAGAAGGGTGCTCATGGGAGAAGTCATTTAATTTTAGCTCAAGAGAAAGGCAAATGAATAGTAACATGCTGTCTGGAGCACTGTGATTTTCAGTATGTAGCATCATTGTTCTCACTTGTTTTGCTTCCCTTTGTTTCTTATACAGTTGCATGATCATCTTTGTTTATTTTTTTCAGAATTTAGATAAATACTGATGTACATTATGCCGTAAGAATGTAGGTTATACAGTACTAAATTTAAACTGTATAGAATTAGAATTGAAAATGTTGTACCTTTTAGGCATGTATTAGAACTTACTACTGCGGTGGACTACTTGTATGATCATAATGAAAGGTCAAGGCTATATCAAGATTTCTTCAATAATTTTAATTCAATTTAACCCTTAGACAGTGGCTGTGGAGAAATTATACCCACTTATGCATAAAAAATATAAAAATTCCAAAATATAATTTTTCATTATAGAATTATTAATTTGTATGCTAAATGTAAGAAAAACACAAACATAAGTGAATATTTATTGTTTCACTGGGTGGAGGCGCCCTGCAAAGTTGCGTCAGGCATGTGTCAACGCCTGGTACTAGACATTGCTGATGCTTCCTGTTTTATTCTCAGATGTTTCACTGTTTTATCACTTTTTTTTATTTACATCGATAGAGAACTATTATATCCATATTTGCATCATATATGTAAAACCCAGACAATAATTCTTAAATCCTCACATGACGATGACCGCATTCTCTTAGTAACATTCATGATGATAACCGCTTTCGTACCATGAAATTGTAGCAGGATTTTTTCATGGGTCAAGGTAAACTACATTACATCCACATAGACCTATTACTGTATACCCATATTTGCATCATACATGTAAAAACCCAGACAATAATTGTTTAAAGTTTCATCATGATAACCGCATTACCCTGTCAATCAATCAACAATTGACAATGTCCGCAGCCTAATGGTTAAAATTGTATTACATGATTAAGTTTTTATGAGGATGATCTTTAGCAAAACTTGATATAAATTTCGCCTTAGGTAAATTCAAACTACAGTTCAGTTTTGGGACTTGCATTTGTTACATTAGCTGATCTTATATTTAGGAATATAATGTTATGTAAACCATTTGATGAAAGTGTATATCAATAATGTTTAATTTTCTATAAATATTTTACGTATGTAATTCCATCATAACAGTACATGCTTGTGTGCATACACATGCAGGGGTACATGCACACAAACACATATGTGTATGTGTTTGCCTGTTTAATTATCTAAGTATGTAATTACACTTATATAATTATACACATGCCCCACAAAAATACACACACACACATACAAGCACATGCAGTCACCAGAGGACCATATAAAGGACATTGCGAGAGGAGCCTATGCTACGCATTTCAACTTCATTATCGCTTTTAAATATATGGACAGAGAAATACTATACTAAAGAAATTGTTCATGATTTTGGTGAGACCAAAATTGGAATATGCAACTGTTGTATGCTGCTTAAACCAATGCTGTATATTAAGAAGCACATCAATAAACTGGAGAGGGTGCAAAGACATGCTATTGAATGGCTTCTGGAACTGAAAACATGAGTTACAATGAGAGGCTAGAGGTGTTAAATATGCCAAAGTTAGAATATAGAAGAAAAGTCAATATAATCACTATGTACAAAATCGTGACAAAAAATGATGAATTTGACAAAGAAGAATTCTTGAAATCTAAGGCAAGCTAAGACAACAAAGGTGCTGAAAAAATATTAGGACATTCTCATTTTGCAGAGTTGTAGATAGTTGGAATAAATTAAGGTGATGAATGCCAAAACCATCAGTAGTTTCAAAGCATTACTATGACAAAGAGCACTGGAAAGATGGGACACCATGAACATAGCTCTCATCCTGTAACTATACTTACATAATCACACACAGACAGTAGTTTCAAAACATTATGTGACAAAGATTAGAGGGAGGAGGAGACACCATGATTATCCTGTAACTACATCTGGATAACTGCCCACACATGAACATACACACACACACAATTTACGTTAAAATTTAGAAAATCCTGTGTTTCAAACTTGCTATACATGCACTGTTTCATAACCACAGAACTCTTTCCAGAAATAGATGTATTCTCAGATATTGAAAATTCATTTCATCAAAATGCCAGAAGATTAAAATGTTTACAAAAAAAAATTTGTGGTAGTGTGGATAAGCTCCTAAACTAGATGACGGATTTCTTTGAGTGAACTTGGGTGTAGGTAAAAAACTAAAGGCATTGTAGCTCGTTAAAAAAGCCATCTTTCATTCGTGAATTTACCTGAGGGTCACTAACACTAGTGGCTTCAACAGGAAGCCAACAGCTTGTTCCCCATTTGGCCTGATGATCTTTTCTACAGGCAGTTTAGTTTCTGGTGAGCAATGGTTGGTAGTGGTGGTCTTTACAACCTGTTCTTAAAACAAAGGCTCCAAATAATATCATACAGCAGTCATATCTCTGTATTTATGAATTAAATATTCATTTTTCTATAAGAGCTTCTAGTGTTCAAAACACACATCTGAACTCTGTACAAACAATGAGTCAATAAACCTTCAGTTATAACAATAATAGGACAAAATAATGATACAGTATTTATCATTTATCAGTTACAGCACATGTATGGTTTATGGAGATGGTGGAAATATTATTGCATTAGTATATTAAATAAAACATCTCATACACACTGACAGAATTTAAATACCAATACTGTACACTTTTAAATATTATAACATAGCTTGCATGAGGGCATGATAAAATGTTTCATTCTACAGTGTTGTTGTTTGAAAGAGTAAGCTCAAGATTTCATAACTGAAATAAAAGTAGCAAAAATAATACAAGTTGCTGGTACACCTTGGAATTTACTTTGTGGAGTAGTACCTTGTTCTTTCAAAAGTACCTTTTTTTTATTAAGAAATGATAATTGCTTATCATTTCTTAAAGGAACAAACTTTCACATCTTTATAGAAGCAAAATAATGGCTTCAGACATTTTACAGAAGAGATGTGAGAGAATATTTATTCTTAAATAATTGTAGATAATTGGAACACACTGCAGGATGAGTTGGCATGTGCAAAAACCTAGGAAACATTGAGAGTAAATAAAATAAAAGTATTTACACTCATAAAGTTGGCTATACTTTTGCAGAGACAGAACACCATAGGCTTGAGCTCTGTCCTGTAAAACAGCAAATAAGTAATCACATACAGATGTTCACACATAATACACACACAATGTACACAGTGAAGGTCACCAGTTTGCCTCGAAGTACAGTGTATTGTTCAAACTGCACTACATGCCCCTGGCTACCCCATGTACAGATGTAACTTACTGGATTGCAAATTTATCATCATCTCTTGGTTTTGGACTAGAATGAATCATCATTTCCAAGGATTGTTCCCCATTTTTGTATAAGCTTTACTGTAACCAATCATGTTCATGTAGCAGAACCTGAACATGTTTGAATGAGAGGTTATGAGAGCGGTGGGCTGATTTGGCAAGTGGACTGCAAGGGAAACATGAAAATTCTTTAAACTTTACATGCATATTGAATGACCATGAAAATACTGTATTGTGTTTATAACTTGGTGTGTAATGAAATTTGATGAATGTTTCTGCTGGGATTCTTATAATTGAATGAATTTGTTATTGTCACTGTTTGTCTGTGTTCCCCATGTAGATTCTCCCAATATTTTCAGACTTCTCTTGTGTTCCTGGAGTTGTGAGTGACAAATAAAATTTTTGTACGAGTGCATGTAGGTGATACAAGTACCATTTGCATTAATTAGTAATGTTGAGCCTCAGCTGGTAGTTTTACAGCTTCACTACTCTTGTATCATTATGTGCTGTCACCGCATGCATTCATGGTTACTCTGAACTGTACTTACAAAATCCCTCCAGAACAGTTCAACAGCAAATCTGTTCAATATTTTTCAATAATTAAAAGGCTCAAACAATTTATTTGTATGTTTAGCAATCTTGTAAGTGAATCAGTTGCCACTTGCATTCGAAATTTAAATATGTGAGAAGAGTTTAGATGTAAAGTTAGCTGAGCAAATTAACACAGAAAAGTAGCCGAGGTAGGGAAGAAGTTAAAGACTGGAAATATGGACATTAAAATTACAGTAAGCAAGGGTATGTGATCTTTTATATTCTTTGGTTGAAGGTAAGCACAAAACTGTAATCTATGGTTAGGCCATAATATTAATTTTGGTATTGTGAGCAATAAAAATTTGACTAGATATCAACTGAGTCTGTTGAGCATTGTTCTAATTTCGGTATTGATAATAGTGTTACAATCCATGGATTGGGAAATGTACACGATTACTATGGATTGGGAAATGGAGGATAATTTTATCACATTTCAAATATAAAAAATGATCACATTTATCACATTTCAAAATCTATCACATTTTGTATAGAAGTACTGTAGTTCCCTCACTCTCAAGTTAGAAGCTTGTGTTTCCAATGGCAACTACAAACCAATAAGATCACAACCCAAGCTAACTTTCTCCTAGGAGTTCATAGAATATGATACGTAGTAAGACTATGTTTAGTCACAACTCTCTTCCCTTCCCAATGAGAATCTAACTTGAGCCATGTTCCCCTTGACAATAAGAAAAGCAATTAATCAAAATAATGTAAAAAAATAATTACTGTATCTGTAGCAATTGCTTATAACTCAGTATTCAGAATTTGCCCGATTTATAAATATAAATGTTGTGTTATGTCCAGATTTGAAGAAATCAGATCTGATTATTAAGAATGTTTTTAAGATAAGAATTTCCACCAAAATTTTAACCTGTATCCAGTTTACAATAGGCCTTGTGGTGGCTGACTTGGGCTTATCCATTAAAAAAAAAAAAAAACGATGAAGCACAGAGAGCAAATCTCATCTTTCTGTTATCATCATTAATAATTATAACTTTATATTCAGAAAGTCTGAGGCTGAACATTTTCTTAAAGAGAACTTTGCTGACATCTGATTTTTGAGAAATAAGATTGGTTTTAACAACCAGCTTTGGTAAAATTAAAAAAATAATTTAACTTTCAGAAACTGCACTCGAGTCCCAATGTGTTCAATAATTTTTGCACATTTGGCATGCTTGAAGAAAACAGTTGACTTAAATGCATACATGTACATAGCAATTTTCTCCATTATCAGAAGTATGGTATCCATCCCAGTAGTTTATGACAAAAATGTTTTTGCAATCCCAGTAGCGGGGAGCCATGTTTCCTTCATTGTGATAATTCCTTCTTCTAGCTGTACCAAACATTATAGGCCAATAATAAATCGATGAGGTCATCCTTGTTTCTATGTCCTGTTTTACATTGAGAATGTGTTATTTTTTTAATTGTCAGAAAGCACAGGTGAATACCTCCCCTGTCATTTATATATTTATTTATTTATATACAAGAAGGTACTGTACATTGGGTTTATTAGAGTACAGAGACTTGACGTTTTACATTCTTGTAAAGCCACTAATTGGCGACAATTGGACACATGGTAGCAGTGGTAATCATTAGACATAGGATGTGTAATTGGATAAGCATGGGGTGCACAATAAACTACCGCTCATAGGATGAGCATGGGGTGCAGAATAAACTACTGCTCATAGGATGAGCATGGGGTGCACAATAAACTACCGTTCACAGGATGAGCATGGACTACATTGGAAGGACGGATTCGACAAAGAATTTGAGCGTCAAAATAGTTAAGTTATAGCGCAACAACACTACAGTAAGGTTTGACTTAAGCTCCATTGGAAGAGAAACATATGCAAGACAAATGTGGGGAAAAATTTAGATAGCTAAGGGGGGCAGAACTCGGCCTGCGGCTCACAAAGACCCCCAAGGGTAAGGCTGAGGAACTAATTCACAAGTGGAGTAATGCAGCATCCTCCTCCTCCCTCCCTGCAGAAGTAAGCAGGGAACAACTCCTGCGACATAATGACAGAAGAAGTAGGATAACAAGAGCACTAGTGATGACGAGTATGGGCAACCAATCGCAGCCCAGGAAGTAAGGGGGAGCTATGAAAAAGGGTAAAAGAAGAGGATTTAGTCACCTATGACATATTCAATGCACTGTCTAAAGTGTCTGGGAATCCACTATTCCACCTCATTAACAAGTTTCCGCACAATGCAAAGATGCAATAATCGTTCCCATACCGAAGCCCAATGACCCTGGCAATTACAGACCTATTAGTCTCATGTCATGCATATGTAAGATGCTTGAAAGGATCATCCGAAACCGACTGTTGCACAAAATAGGCAGGCTAGGGGAAGAGGGTCAATAGATTTGTTAAAGGACGGAGCACGACAAATTGTATAGTTAATTACTTGGCTAATGACACTGCTACGTACTCTGTATTTGTTGACATCAAAGGAGCTTTCGACAAAGTACAAGGATTGCGATCCTGCATGGACGAGCTTGCAAGCATGGGTGTCAAGGGGAGGCTCATGAAATGGATTGAAGACCACCTCACAGGGAGGAAGGCCATCAAGGTCTGCTTCAGTGGAAGTGTCAAGAACAATTAATATGGAACTCGGGACATCCAAAGGAGGAGTCTTAAACCTCACACTATTCGATGTACTTATGAATGCCATTGCAAATATTGATTTTCCGGAAGGGACGCAACAAGTGGGGTATGCAGATGATGTGCTAATGCAAGCTCCAACCTTGGGAAAAATTAAAGTCCATTGAACTCCTTGGAAGGATATGTATTGAGCTCGGTTTCACTCTCCACAAAAAAAGACTAAAGCATAATCTCATCACAAGCGGGGAGCAAATGAACTACAAATGAATGGCGTAACACTTGAATGGGTTGTCCACTACAGGTACCTTGGGGTCATTGTAGGCTCTAACAAAGGGAAGAAAGACGAGTTCAACCAGCTCATAGAAACATACAAAAGTCGACTCAAGGCACTGAAAGCTATGACCTGGAATGGACATGGAGCCTCTATTGCCGTGATTAAAATGATGTAGACAGCCTATGTGCGCTCCGTCATAGACTATGCCGCAGACAGTGCGGTCTGCTGCATGATGCGAGGAGGACGTGTTGCTCCGCATCTTCGTGTTTGCACGTGGCTGCTGCAGCTAGATGTTGTGAATTTGTTCTCGACTGTTGCAGTGATACAGTGCCTTTGTGTATCGAGGAAATGGCTGAGGCGGTCTGCCTAGGTGATGGAAGATCCTGTACTGGGCCTGGAGAGTGTGACAGTGAGGATGGCAGACAGGATGATACTAGGCCGTATCAAGCAGTAGTAAACAGATATAAACGGAGAAATATTCAAAGACAGCGAGACGAAGACAGTGAGGAGGAAATAACAAAGAGACCAAAAAATGAAGACATGCTCAGCAGGACGCGGGAGATGCAGACTAATGGAAGGAAGAGGCTGTTGTTCCCTACAGCATGTCAACTGAATTTCCATCAAAAGCTGGAGTGGACGGTTCGTTTGGCTAAGGAGTTTTTTGAATATGAACCACTATTCAAGGAGGGTCTTCACCGGCCCTATATAACAGTTGGGACAGAGGAGGCCGTGGAACACCTAACGAAGGATGGGTTTGAGAATATTGTGATGGTTACTCCGGAAAAAGGTATGATGTACACCAAGGTCATAGTGTTTAAGTATCCAACTTATTTGGATCCTGATTATCTATTGCTCAACAATGATAGTGTTGTTTGGGCAAAGAGGAACAGTGTTCGTGGTGAAAAACAAAGCCAGGTTGTTGCCTTGGTAAAGGGTGAGGCTCCAGAAAGAATTTTTGTGCAAGGACTAGGCTACAGGAAAGTTGTAAAATACATTGAGGAGCCCATATTATGCATGAAGTGTTCTCGTTGGGGACATATGGCTTGGAAATGCCAGTTTGACTCCAGGTGTCGGTACTGTGGTAAGAAACACGACTCTCGAGAGTGTAGAGTCAAGATTAAAAACGGTGAAAAAATCGTCCCATCTTGTTGCAATTGTCGAGGAAGCCACAATGCTGGTTCCTATCTATGTCGCATGAAGCCTCATCTGAGAGACTCGAGGACGGGTGCTACAAGCAGGATAGATGTATCCTCGAAGGAAGGAAAGATTGTGCAGCAGGAACATGGAGGAAACAGTTGGAAGCCAATGACAGCGCCTATGAACAATGTGTGGGAGAAAGGAACAGAGACAATTAAGGCGAGCCTAGGGAAAGTAGGAAATGCAGCTGAAAAAATTAAACCTTGTGGAAACAAGGTTCAGGTCAATATAGTGAACTCTGAGGTTGGTACTCAAATATTGGAATATCTAAAAAAACTAGAAAAGAGGATTGAGGCATTAGAAAAATTAACTATGGGGGGTAGACGGGGTGAAGATGGTGGTGAAACAGGACGTGAAGTGGAAAGTGAAACAGGACGTGAAATGGAAAGTGAAACAGGACGTGAAATGGAAAGTGAAACAGGACGTGAAATGGAAAGTGAAACAGGACGTGAAATGGAAAGTGAAACAGGACGTGAAATGGAAAGCCAAACAGGACGTGAAATGGAAAGTGAAACAGGACGTGAAATGGAAAGTGAAACAGGACGTGAAATGGAAAGTGAAACAGGACGTGAAATGGAAAGTGAAACAGGACGTGAAATGGAAAGTCAAACAGGACGTGAAATGGAAAGTCAAACAGGACGTGAAATGGAAAGTGAAATAGGACGTGAAGTGGAAAGTGAAACAGGACGTGAAATGTGCGTTGAAGAAAGTAAGGAAGAACATGACGTATTGATGATAGAGGATAGTCAGGAAAATGAACTTTCTAGTAGTGTTAGCGTTCAACCTTCTGTAGTGACAAATGTCGAAACAAAGGTTAAAGTAAAACGGTATAGAGAAATAAGAAAGAAATTAGATATGAATAAGATCACCTTTGATGCTAGTAGCTGTTGTGCAAATGAGGAGAAAGCAGAAATGTTACAGTGTTGGGAGAGTCTGTCTGAGAAAATCTCGTATCTCATGGAATGTGACAGACAGGGCAAAGGTAGTTTTATTAAATCATGGATGAAAGTAGAGTGAGAATATTATCTTGGAGCGTTAATGGGTTAAAATCTAGTGCGGTGGATGTACACTATTATACTCTTAGATAGTACTATATTAACCTGATATGTTACATGGGATTCTTGTATTTGTACTCACTGAATTTGTGCGCCCCTTGAGGGACTTGAAGTATGGGAAGGGGTAGAAATAGCCTAAGCTAATCTTTGATTTTTTTTTTTTTTTTTTTTTTTTTTTTTTTTTTTTTTTTTTTTTTAACTTGTCTCAATAAACCTACTTGAACTTGGAAGACCATTATGTATTAAAGTGTCAAATTATGGATAACCATAGAAATAAGGAAATAAGTAGTGTACCACTTCAAATTGTTTGGATGTGTGATAATGATATGATAGACAGAATACTTAGGAACTACAAGAATTTTGCCCCAATGATTGTAACACTTACTATATTAATATGCAATGTTAAATGTTGTATTGTGATTTGTGTATCTGTACTCACTGAATTTGTGCGCCCCTTGAGGGACTTGAAGTAGAGGGGGGTAGAAATAGCCTAAGCTACTCTATCCCTTTGAGATGTATTTTTTTCTTGTCTCAATAAACATACTTGAACTTGAACTTCTATGCCGCACCTGTTTTATGTACCTACTCCCAAAGCTATATGAAAAGGCTCGAAACATACAAAATGAAGTCATGACAAATTCTTGGAGTTCCAAGAACTGCCAAAACGTCTACTCTACGAGAGGACTTGTCCCTCTGCAGTGTTAAAAGCAAAATTAAGGAACGCTAAGCTTGCAATTAGGATAGCCAGATATCCCCATTACAATGATATTACCAAGAAAAAACTGAGTTCTGTGTTGCTTGCAGGAGGAAACAGGAGAAACAAGAAATGGCATCACAGATATGAACCTGCTTGGAAACAGGCAAGTTACTGTATAAAGGAAATACGCCAGTCGCCCCTCCTTGGGTCGGCTGCGCGCATGGCATGGGGCAGGCGCTGGCACCGCTAGCTCCCTTATTCACGCCCTATGAACACATGAGAGACATTAGAAATATGTAGAATAATAAACCCCACATTGTTTGAGTTAGGAAAACACTATTTGTCATATATTGATACTGTTCTTAAAAGATTCCCCCATTTTGCACACCACAAGATAACGCAAGATTTTAAGGGTTGACAGATGTTAATCTCGTTTGAGGAACTGTCCCTTGAGACAGTTAAGCAAGTCCCAGCTGTGTCTGGGTACAAGTGACAGGATGAACAACCCAGCGGGTTTTCTTCCTATTGGGAGTGTTGTACATGCTGCTATGGCGGTGTGTCCATTCATAGGATGAGTGGCGGTGTGTCCATTCATAGGATGAGTGGCGTTGCCCAATGCCCTCGGGGTAACATAAAAAAAACTACAGTATTTGGAGACAAAGAGCTAAACCTCACTTCCTCAATGAAAGATAAGCATTATTTGGGGGAGGGGGTGCTGAGGGAAGTCTGATAAGAGTGAGAGATGGATGGGCAAGTGCCATAGCTAGCTGGGAAAATGTTTTTTATACGACACACCTTCATAGTAACAAAAGTATTGAGAGGTTTTGCGAGAATGCAGCATTAAGCAAATGCACAATTATAAATAATAAACTATTGCAGTATTGTACATATAATGTGCAAATCATATGTGTAAGCCGCTATGAGACCGTGAAGTTGCTTTAAGGTCATCAGGTTGTTTTGAGACCGCGGTACCCGGCCCGGCCAGGGTTGCCAGACACGAATTGCTGAAAGTAGCACCCTGACGGTCTAAAGGTAGCGAATTTGTTATTAAAGTAGCCCAATATTTTGTTTAGCGCTGAAACGGTTTTCAGAGCAATTTATTTTAATACATAGAGTAACACTACATGATTTAATGATTGTAGTAATATTATCACTGCATGTATATAATACAAAAAAGTGATAATTGGGTTGTTGGTATATAGTCGGGAGACATCTCCCGTCACGCAGGGTGCAGTCGCACCTCCACAGATCTCCACTATCAGCTAATGATAATGGTAATGGCTCCAAAGGGCGACCAATTACGGGCTATTCATGCCCGTGCTACCTTTCGGGTGGCTTAATCTTCATCAATCAATCTGTTGGTATGGAGTGGCTTCTCCAGAGCGCAAAGCCAGGGTAGGTTGATACGGGGGAGAAGCTGTAACCCAGGCAGCATGTCCCCCATCTCCACGGCGCCGAAAATCTCCAATGGAGACGCAAACGCCAATACGATTGGTTCCAGCGCCGTCGCAGGAACTGTGAGTTCTGGGAATGACCTCGAAGTTGGTGAAAAAAGGCACAGGGACTCCAAACCCGGACACCGCCGTGTTTGAGGACTAATATTTGCTGCATATAGCATAATATAGAAGTCCCCATGGTGTAGTGGTAAGACACTCGCCTGGCGTTTCTCGAGCGCTTTGTCCTGGGTTCGTATCCTCGCCAGGGAGGATTTACTGGGCGCCAATCCTTAATTGTAGCCTCTGTTTACCCAGCAGTAAAATGGGTTGTTAAACGATTTGGCGGATCGTATTCCGGAGAACATAGGATTAAGGACTTGTCCGCTACACTTACTAGTGGCTGTACAAGATAGTTTAGTTCATTTATTATACACCCCATACCCATCTTGTGGGCGGTAGTGGAAAGGGTTACAGAAGCACATAATAGGCTCAGGGATTGAACCCCACAATTCATTTAGCTAAACAAGTTACAATCTTCATGAGCTAGTTACAAAATTCAGTATAAGTCGTCATATCATCAATGGGTTCGAGATCGACCACAAGTACAGTTTCTAAATTAAGCAACTGACATATGTTGAGAGCTAGTGTCACAATTGATATGTTTGTCCTGCACACCGCCCCCCATCCAGTGGGCAGCGGTGGACAGGTTACAATCACTTAGTTACTACCTACAGTTTAGCAAACTGGGGATATTTGGCTAAAATTTCTGGTAGCAGATCATTTTGACTGTACAAGAATGTAAGAACTCTTAAATAAATAAATAAATAAATAAAAATATACCTGAATTTACCTAGTAAATTATGCTTCGTGCAGGAAATGTTAGTAAGTTATCCAATTATCACGTTTGTTTCAGTATAATGAATTATAATATAATGAATAGTGTGTATTATTTTATTATACATGGGTACACTAACACACCACATGAGACCAGAAGGCATGGCAGGATGTGCAGAATACCCCTGTTGAAAAGCAGAGGTGCAATGGGTACTCTGAGAGAAAACTCTATCAACATATTTTCAATATCATTAAGCTTAGACTGGTCAGCTAGAACTAATGAAAGTTCTGAATATGGTGGCCGTGTGTGGCTAAGGCATATTATACTAGGTGACAGATTTTTCACCTTTTTTAAAGTTTCACCATAACTAGAAAGAAACTCTTTGCAAGCTTTCATATTTATGACATCTTTTTTGAACACTTTGAAGCTATTCCTGGTTTATAGCATTGTTTTGTCTGTTAGTAGCAAGAAGTGTAGTAGCCCAACTAATTATTAAATTAGTCCAAAAAGTCGCAAGTAGCGAGATTAAAAATTTAGGAGCACAGAGCTGTCAAAAGTAGCCCAAGTCGCTACTTTTTTGCCCAATTTGGCACCACTGCAGTACCGTTCATATGTTCCCACATTTCTTTATTTACAGGTTTCAATCTTAATAATTGTATTACATTAAGAATCTTGCATACCTAAAGTTCTAATTCCATATTAAATATATACAGAAAACTTTTAGTGATTTAAAAAGAGGAATATACCCGGTGATAAGTTGTGAACTAGTCGCCAGATAGCCGGTACGTAATCTGGATCAGTGGCGGTGGACACACTAGGGACAGACGGCTAAACTACCCGGGTAATCTCTCCTCTCGCGCCGGCAACTACCATGGCCACTTTGATAGATATAACAGATAGAGACAGCGGTGTGGCGAGCAGCGAGGCCACACCAGAGAGCCAGATGCTGAGCCCTACAGCACAGGAGGAGGCGGTGAAGGTGATGGGGGAAGCGGTGGAGGCCGCCGCCGCCAGGGTGTCGTCTGCTGCTCTGGACGTGGCCGACGCTCCTCATGTTATTGCTAGGGTTCTCAGAGGCGACGGCGACGCTGACGACGTCGACGACGACGAGGTAAGCCAAGGCTTTCATCCAGCTGGCAGGACAGGTCGCCCTGATTCATTCTTGGTCGTTCAGCTCAGTCTCGGGGGGCATGTTTGGCTAGGCCAGGGACGACCTGGCAGGACAAGTCGCTCCGATTTGTATTTGATCTCTTCGCCTAGATATAATTTTTGTTTAGATGAATTTAGCGTATGAAAAACCTAGCAATGAGTAGGTACTCGGGAATTAGTCGGCTGATTGTGGGGTTGCATCCTGAGCGAGGTCAGTAATTTGACCTTAGGGGAGGTGGGTATGACCACGATATAAGTCTAACGTGTATGAATACACTCTGGCTTCCTGTTCCTCAACACAGTAAATTACTGGGTATTATTAAATTATTATCTTTACTAGACACACACAGGTGAAATTTTTAACCTAGGGTATTCTCAAGTGAAGATCTGAAATGAGGCTCTTCTCTTTGCACATGCTTTACCTGGGCTACTTTACTGCACAGGCTACCTACTCGCTACAGTCCTTTACGTAAATTCAGCCACTTTCATATAATAATTAAAATGTTGGAAAGATTTCATTTGTATGAGCCTTGTTCAGGAGGTTTCTGATTAGCTGTGCTAATCCTAAACTGTTTGCTCACTTTTGTCCAGCAGTAATTGGGCACCTGGTTATAAACCACTTAGTGGGTCGTGTTCCAGGAAAAATGAGTAAGGGAAGGCCTAACATGAGCCTTACCTGCTAGCATGGGTAAGAATTCATCTACTATTGTACCCATCTGTGTATAAAAAATCTGGTATAACTCTGACAGCATTATTAGATATTCACCTTTACTAAATGAAGGGAGCTTGTCCCAAGTCAATTGAGAAGTTTACATTTTGTGAATCTCCTTACTGAGCTAAAAGTAAAAAAATAAAAAAAAGATGAGGGCAAGATACTGCACAGAGATAGGTGTATATAATGTATGCATAATATTATATACATTAGTGTTTCTATGATTAGCATGTGTAGTATTTGTATATGCTATACTGTATATGTTGTGTGATAACATTGCTGTCAATGTCATCCGTGTGAGGTTGCACTTTTTTAAAAATGTCTATTTTATACTGTATGGATTCTAAACAAATTGTCCAGTTCATCAGGCCTGTAATCAAATTAAATGTACTAAGATTTGGTTATGTTTATATGTATGAAAGTATTTTTTTTGTGAATTGCAAAGCAAATTTCTAAAAATAAAAAAAACTAGATTTATATTACTGTAATTTGTTTTCCCCAGGATGTTGATGAAAGCCTAGGGGAGAGAATATGGGGATTAACAGAGATGTTCCCTGAACGTCTTCGAACCACCAGTGTTAATGCTGTATCGACCTCTTTAAATGTAGTAAAAAGTAAGTACAGGTAGAACTCTTTAGATAGGTAACAGCTCTCCATTTTACTAAATTTTTGAGTTTACAATTTAGAAACTATAACATTATTTTATTATGTAAATTGAATTACAGTTACTGTCATTATTAAATGTGTAACAATAGAAAAGATGGGTAATGAACATATAAGCTAACACTGACCTTGTTGCCACATGTATGTAAACTGATGCTGCCTCCATACTGTATTAGTCCATACCATACCACACGGTAGTAAATAAAGTTGTGATTATAGGTTTGAGAAAGAAACTTATCACCGTACCCTCAATCAAACCACAGATAATCAAACTGAAGTAAAATTCACAAAGCACTTGCATATCCACTTAAATATGTATCTCTTATTGTGGTCATATTTGCTTAGTTTTTACTGCGGCTTTATGTTGCTTAACTGCTATGTAATCCATAACAATACCCACCTTGGGTTGAGGATGACCTCATTGTGCCTTGGAGCATGTAAGAATTCTTTGGGGAATGATCATGCACTATCGTGAGTGTTGTATATGATGCCATGCTCAGCCACAAATGCATGATATCAGCTGCCATGTAACAGTATTGAGGGGGAAAGTACACTTTCTTAGAGGTGCAACAGCCATATTTATTACCAGTATGGCTTAGAATAGTAACAAAAATTTAGATAACCCTTCACTTTCCTACTCTCTCTTGAATTGTTATTTATTTTATTAGTACGGTATATTCATTAGACCTAGATGATGTGGCACTTTTAAAAACCCAAATTTTGTTTTAAGTAGTGTTAACATTATTTACATATCAGATTATTGGGTGATTTGCATTATGGTTTGGCAAATATTTTTGTTGAAAAATTATTCCTAGTAATATCCTGTATTTTTCCAGGCGCCTATGATTTGACTCGGCAAGTAGTATGGATAGCAGTTAGTACATCTGTCATCCTATTTGCTCCTGTGATGTTTGAATTAGAAAGACTCAATGTCGAAGAGATGATGAAACAAGATAGAAACAGGGTAAGTCATACAATTGTTGTTTGCTCTCCCAACCACTTAGGCTGGACGGTAGTAACAATCTCACTTCATGTAGGTCAGCATTCAATCCCCGACCATCCAAGTGGTTCGGCATCAGTCCTTTCCCCTGTCCCATCCCAAATACTTATCCTGATCCCTTCCAAGTGCTATAGTTGTAATGGCTTGGTGCTTTCTGCTGATAGTTCCCTTTCCTTCTCCCAAACACAGATGTGGCCATTTGTTTACAATGCTAAGCAGCTTGTTTACATTTACTTCTGTTCTTCATGGACTTGGTTAGAAATATGGTAAACAACATATGACATATGATGTAGGAAGTTAATTAATAACCACTCAACCACAGAATGTAATTGAAATGCTGTTGCAATGGAAAATTTCAATTCTAACACAGGATGTATATATTTTTCTGTACTACATTGACAGGACAAGCGAGCTGCTAACTACATAGCACGTTATTGAGTGCTTGGCCACAGAAGGTGATTAAAGGGCTTTTACAAGCTTGAGTTATAATTGCTTCATCTATACTAGATAAGTGTTGCATTTAGAGAGATCAACATGTCGACCCTAGGGAATGGTGCTAAATAGTCTTCCCAGCCTTGTGCCTTCTTTTGGTGATTACACGCACTGCTCAAGAGGGTCGAAAGTTAGTCAGTATGGGACAGTCTAGAAAATAATGTTCAAAGGAATGCATATTTTCTTTCACAAAGTTGACACATCGTGTATTCGACACTTGAGTTTTGGGAAAGCTGTCCAATGTGTCCCAGATGAACCCTGACCACTAAAACTTTGTACTGTATTGCAAAAGTTCTATATTATGTAAATGTCTTCTCACAGTATTGTTCACAGATTAGTTTTTTTCAAAACTGTCATTATGTGAGCTTGCCATAAAGGCCTCAAGTCTGCAGCACTTAGATTGATGATAATACCCTCAGTGTTTGGAATAGGAGTCTTCATTAGTATGTTGTTTTTTGTTGCTCGCTTGTGTGCCCAAAGTATTACACTGATAATATGTAAATTATTGTTCTCAAGAGTGTTAGAAATTTTCCTTATAGTGCTTACCTGAAAAAGTTCAGTTGTTAACCAAGGACACTAGTCCAAATTTGACTTCATTCTGGTATTTGTGAAGTTGGAATTCAAATTTGACTTTAGCTAAATCAAGGGTCCCACTACCCTGGTGCCTTTTCACTTCCTGATATTCTAACTTAAACCTTCAACTGCACAATCAGTTAATATAACTACCTGTGCCTGTGCACAAGAAAATTTAAAAAAAATTCTTCTATTATTATTAAAATGCATTCCCTCATCATGGGAAAACTAGAATAAAATGTCACTGGCTATAGTGAAGTGATAAAGTCCCAATAACAGCATTACATCTTGATTGCTGGTGAAACAATATCCAGGCCAGGTCATTCCAGGAGAGTGTGGTGGGTGGGAGGTTGCCATGCATATTTAATGGATGATCTTAATTTTAAATGTTTCTTCAATGCTCTTTAGTGCGAATTATCTTTTGGTGTATGGATGCCCACGTGGGAGTTTTAAAATTTATACGGAACCTAAATGTTACTCTGGTTGTGATGTTCAGATGAAGCATTAATACTTTATAAGTTGTGAACATAAATAGCTTCCATGACCATGTTTATTTTATTAGTTTACCAGCCACACTGAATATAGGTATTTCCTTGCTTTTCTTGGACTATTTTGTTTCCAATTTGAAATTGTGTTCCCTCATTTTGCCTTCCCTCATTCCAGTATCCATTGTAGCTTGTTTAAGTCTGTAGTATTGCGCAATCTTTTCCAGTGATTTCTTCTCATTAGTTTTGCATCTACAAATATTATCATGACCTTATCTCCATGGTAAGTCATTCACATGTATAAGGAATAGTAAAAATACAAGGACTATGGGAACCTGGGCCTTGATTTATCGAGCACTGAAGTGTCCACTTTTGAAATTTGTGTATTTTTCCTCTCATGATGTCTTAGTCTATTTATTAGAGAGTTTAGGAGCTTTGAAATACTGGGAGGTTATTCTGGACCCAAGGTTTTTGTGATGGACAACCTCATGGCACTTTGGAGGTCATATACTTATAAGGAAATTAAGCTTCAATGAGTGAGGAGCAAGTGTACGTCTCATCAGTGGATGCTTATAGAAAACTCGGATTCAGTATAGTAATTAGGCTTCTATGTCTGTGTGGTTACTGAAGTGCTCCAACGATGTCCTGTATAACATTGCCACATATTTCCTCTTTTCAGCTTGTATTGGGTCCTGGATCAGCCATGTCTGGGCCACCAATTGCTCCCGGTCTTATGCCACCGCCTCCAACACGATAATTTCCTTGCTGTTGTCCCCCTTTCAAGCCCCCCTCCTCCCCTCCCCCCACGACTGTTGAAAGTACAGGCTATAATTGCAAAAATATTCATGGATGTTACTTCAAGTTGTTAGATGGTGGCAGCACCACAAACATGGGTAAAAGTATGGGAATTGGTAAATTATATTGAACTCCTTGTCTTAGTTGAGAGTGCAGACATTAGTTTTAATACCATGTCCTTTCACTAAAAATACCATATCTTTGAGGGGGAGGTCACAAAATATATCCCCCAGACATTTCATACATTATACTGAACATTCAGTTGTCAAAGTTGTGCATATACGATATAAACTTGACCTTTGCAAGTGAAATGTATGAGAAGGAAAAGCATTAATGGAGAACCATTAATGGGGGGAATGTGGGTATTTCTTCATGCCCATGAATCCCCATAGAATGGGGGATGATGTATACCCTGAATTTTTGCATACGTGTTTATCTTTTAAACATAGGGGTATGTAACGATATGGAGAATAGTTTTCTCTCGCCCAGAGAAATTACAGTGTAGGTAGGTACCCTGCAGTCATATCAATTATGTAAAATAATATGAAATTTAATAAATATTCAGGTGAATGCTCCGAATTTGCAATTGTAATGATTTGTACATATGTTAATATGGCTAGAGCTATTTTAAGAAGTTAATTGTGTAAAGATGATCATTTTGTATTTAATTTATAATAGATGACTTAAGCTCACCTGATTGTGTATGATTTGTATAGTCATCAGAATAGGGGAGATGAGACCTTGTATAATCTGATGCTGGTTGAAAATGTTTGGCCACTAAAGCAGCTAAATAGTTATGCCTAGTATATAATAATCTATTTAAATTCAAGTGTATGTAGAGCTGCTGTTTTTGTATTTTGTGGTGTAGAATTAATAAGTTCTGTTGTATATTTTAACTACTGTTGACCAACTTTTGTGCATCCTTTAAAAGTACTGTAATAAACTTTTTTTATTGATGCCTTTTTTTATTCATAATCTAAACTAGCCAATAAAAGTAAATTCATCATAATCTTTCATGCTAGCATGGATTAACTAGGTAATAAAAAATGATTTGTTGCTGTGTTTTGAGTGTTTTATAATAAAGGCTTTGTGTTGAGAGTTTAAGGTGTATGCAATTTAGAGGTGCCCATGCAACATGGATTGATGGTAATAATTATGAAATAATTTGCAAATGTGTAAGTATAGTATGATCAATGGAACAAATTAAAGAATTTCTGAGGTGGATAATGCATTAGGTAAAGTTGAAAGTGGAAGAACCGTAATAGTCAGTGTGAATTCCAGAAAGGTTACGTGGATTAAAAAAATATATACTGTACATTAAATTCAACTCATTGGAATTATGGTATTGTATAATACAGATTTTAAAGTCGTTGAAAAATTACATGCTTGGTAGTACAATACAGGTTCGGTATTAAGATAAATTAGGTTGCCAAGTATTGGAACAAGTTTGTAGGTATTGAATAAATATGATTGTATGGTGCTCTTGATGGCCCATGGTGCTGGTATGGGAGGATTGACTCTGCGCCAATCCTTAACTGTAGTCTGTTCACCTTGCAGTGAATGGGTACCTGGTTGTTAAACGATTTGGAGTCATATTCCGTTGAAAAATTTGGATTAAAGATCTGCCTGAAACGCTATGTGTGCTAGTGGATTTACAAAAATGTAAGAACTCTTGTATATATAAATAAAATAAAATAATCCAATATATTTTCCTTTCTAACAGCTTAAATAAAAATTTTAAAGAATTTATTTTCATCTAGTAGCCATAGACTTGTAGGAGTTTACCATATGATCAATTTTGACAATTTATGGATTTTCTGCTTTAGTCATATGACAATTAGAAACAATAGATTTAAGCACTAAAATACTATATGCCTAAAATATTGTGTAATTAGAGGCTTTGTAAAAAAATACACATACTGTACTAAGTAGCCACTGTAATCTGATTCTTTGTATTTTTTCTAAATATATTAATATTTGGATAAAAGAAGCATACTGTACTGTATTCACCTAGTTGTGCTTGCGGGGGTTGAGCTCTGGCTCTTTCGGCCCGCCTCTAAACTGTCAATCGATCAACATTTTTTTTTCACTCGCCCCCAGAAAGCAGCTTGTAACAGCTATCTAACTCCCAGGTACCTATTTACTGCTAGGTAACAGGGGCATCAGAGTGAAAGAAACTGCCCATTTGCATCTGCCGGCGCCAGGAATCGAATCCCGGTACACAGGACTACGTATTCAGCATGCTGTCCACTCAGCCACCAGGCGACTGAATGTTATACACACAGAATAGTTAGTCTGGTTATAGGTGGTGGAAGTGAATAGTTGCAGTTTAATTTATAAATTCATTAACATCTCCAGGAGGCTTGATGGTGTCAGTAAGGCGATGGCTTTTTGTAGGTCAACCCATTATTCCTGAGAATTTTCTAAACTGCATTTTGAACTGAAGCATTGTCTTGGTATTTACAGCTTTTTTGGGGTATCCAATTACATGGCTTTGTTGCCCACGAGTGAAAAAGAATTGACCGTTGTGTGTCCTACATAATGGCTTTTAGAGCTAGAAGCTGTTGGTCCTTATGAGAGAGATGTTGGACTTTTAAAATAGTGGTTTAAATTAGGGTCTTCCAGTGTGTACAATATTTTGAGTCCCAATGAATTCATCCCTGTCATGTCTTGATCATCCTGGACCCTTCTGAGGCTAGCCCTTTTAGGCTTGTATGTATGTCAGCTCAATACTGAACATTACTCTCAAATAGAGGCCAGTTTCTTTTACCTGAATTTGGGTGCTGTTACCTTGGGTGGGATCTATTACATGCTGTATGAAAAAGAAAAATCCTGTTTGAAGTCAAGAAATTGCTCTCATGCTTGTAATGCTAGAGTTTCTCAGTCTATTTTCTCGTGGTTAAAATCCTGCTTTATATAAAGTTCTTCAGCTGCTGCCTTATTACTTGATACAGCTCTGTAAGTTACTTTGCTATTGCACTTTACAAATTATGAGCATCCCATGTTATTTATGTAGTCTGTTCTTGTTCTGCCCATTTTAAATGGTAGGTGTTGCCCCAGGAGATGGAATACCCATTCCTTTATCCCGTCTTGTTTGTGGTTTGTGGATCACAATGATGTCGAGAATCTCAGCAAATGCAAATACAGTAATTGTCGGACTTATTTACTGGGCTCCTGCATGGCATTTATGTAGAGGTATTAAAAATTTATATTTTACTTTAGGGGCCAATTCATTCATTTATTATGCACCACATACCCATCCTGTGGGTGGTGGTGGAAGAGTTCAGAGGCACACTAGTCCATTTAGCTAAGCAAGTGACAATCTTGTGAAGCTAGTTATACAATTGTTAATATTACATACACATATCAGTAGTCTGTTTATATAGCGAGTGATTCAACAAGAGGCCCCCAACAGTCTCTATACAAGGCAGTTTACAGCTATGGTGAGTCAGTTACACAGTTACTGTTCTTGCTCCACACACACCCAACTGGACAGACTTTACAATCATGTGCATTCATTATATACCTACAGTAAGCAAACTTTTGATACATTGCAAAGATTCATGGTAATACATCATAACCTTATTGGATGACCCACATGTGCGGTTCTTCCTGCATAAAAGAATGTAGAAAGATGAAGCAACGTGTGAATTTCATTTTGCATCAAATCTGCTAGATTTTGTTGCTGCTCAAAGGCAATCTAAGATGGTAATCAATTCCCTCTTTGAGCAAAAGTTTTGATTAACTCATTAGTTCTGTCATGCATTCGGAGACCAATATGAGAAGGAATCTACAGGAGACAAACTCATACTCTATCATTGATCCTTTATATCTGTGTCCAGCTTCAGACAAAGTGTCAACTTTGGATTCATATACGTACTCTTTTCATTCACAAGGATTATGGCAAACAATTCTGTTTGCCAATTCAAAGAAAAAATGGATAGAGATGTTTTCTAACCCCCGCATTTAGCTCAGTAGAGATATATATAGTTATGCTATATGCTTTCATAAAGCGAGATGAAAATATAGGGTGATGGATGGAGATGGATATGTTTGATGGGTAGATGAGTAGATAGATGGATAGAGAAATAGGTAGATGAGTATAGAAGGACAAATGGGAGACAAGCAGACCCCGAGCAATGCCGGTTGCTTACTCATAGCTGACTATAGGGTGCGCACTACATTATAGTTTAAAGTTTAGGAGAGGGAAATTTGCTTGATGGCAGACAAAACTAGAGGGTTCAGTTCCTGAACCGATCATGTGCTTCTGTAATCCTTTACACCACCGCCCACGGGATGGGTATGGGGTGCATAATAAAGAAATTGAATTGGCAGACAAAAAATGTCATAAAGGTATATTTGGGTTAATATGTATTCAAATCGATCGAAATACGCCTTTAATGTTCATAAGTTCTAAATATCTTAGACACTCATAAAATCTTAGCGTTTTCTTTGTTGTAAAATTAACGACATTTCTTTATACGAATTTTTAAATATGAAATGTCAGTATTACCTGCCATATATCGTAGATAATATATCAACTTATCTAGCACACAAAACAACAAAGAAAATCAACACAGAAAATAAAGCAGTTCAAATAAACCTAAAGGGACCCCCCCCCCATATTTTTTGTATTAATACCAAAATAACAAAACATGCCAGAGATATAAATCACACGCATATAATGTATATTTTTGTAAATAAGATATTTAAAATGGAACTAAAAGACAGGAATTAAGTCATGTAAATAAGTAAGAGGGATAATAGATGTATAGAAGAGGGAGGTGGTGAGGTGGCGAGGGCCGGCCGGCGTCTCCGTCCACTCGCCCGCCCGCCCTCACCATGGCGGCTGCTCCACGCTCCTCTCCACCTCCTCTCTCTCTTTCTCTGCCTCCTGCCCTCTATTCCTCCATCTCTTCACCTCTCCTCTGCCTGTCCCATCCCCAGGACAGCCATGGACGCGTGCTGGCAAATTCACTGACGGCCAACCTTTGTGGTAAGTTTCTCCGTGTTGGTTATTGGTAGTTAGACATTTTAAATTTTTTTTAGGTACGAGATTAATTTGTTAAGTAGTTACATTTCTTTTCGTTTGTGTGGAATGCCGCATTAAGGGTCGATTTTGTGACTAAAATGGCGTTAAAGTGAGGAGACTAGCGTGTTTGTGAGGCCACGTGGTCCCTCGTGGCCTCATATTGGAAACAAATTTCGTTTCAGTGTTTTGCCTGTAGTACAAGTACTCTAGTACTTGTGTACTAGAGAATGCTTTATACCTCGTGTGTGTGGTTTTTTTTCCCCTATGAGGAGGGCGGCAGCCTCGTCCCTGGCCGCCCCCAAGGGCTAGATGCTCCTAGCCCCCAGCCTCTCCCTGAGGGTGGCTGGTAGTGCCCTCTGTGACGGGCTTCTCTCACTCTTGAGGTCGATTACCTCGTGTTGGAAATAATTAGTGGCCTCTATCCATAATTTCAAGAGCAGATAGGACATAACTTGCAACATTTTTGCCAGTGTTCTACACACTGCTAGTTTAAACTATTGGCTGAGACTGTGTAAGGTTCTGGTTCTATAGTAAATTATATTACTATCTAATGGTTTCATGAGCAAATGCATAGCATTTGCTGACTATAATGTTGCTGAATGTGGAGAAGTGTTTCTCTTAACATATGGAAATAAGGCTTGAGAATTGGTGAAAACAGTCGACAAGATGCACTAATCCTGTTTCTATTTCCATCGTCCACAAACAACCTCAGTGTTATGCTATAAAGCGATCTTATTTTCTAGTAAATGTGTTCTACATGTTGTATAAAGGAAATATTTCATCCTTACATAATTTTCCACTAGTTAAATACTATATACTTTGTGCCTATTCTTTGGTAGGTTACATGGTTACAGGGAGCCGGTCGGCCGAGCGGACAGCACGCTGGACTTGTGATCCTGTGGTCCTGGGTTCGATCCCAGGTGCTGGCGAGAAACAATGGGCTGCAGAGTTTCTTTCACCCTATGCCCCTGTTACCTAGCAGTAAAATAGGTACCCGAGTGTTAGTCAGCTGTCACGGGCTGCTTCCTGGGGGTGGAGGCCTGGTCGCGGACCGGGCCGCGGGGACACTAAAGCCCCGAAATCATCTCCAGATAACCTCAAGATCCAGATGGTTGCTTGGGTTCATTTGTTTGTCGTCAAATACCTGGTATGGGGATTAAGGTTGTTTTATGTACAAAGATTGAATAAACTTTTAGAAGGGATGCTGGTCTTGAAATAAGTAGTCTAGTATGTGTTGGCAGGTCTGCTGCTGTGGTGATCTATAATTTTTGAAACCATTTAATGCTCTGGGTATGTAGTGTTCAAATGGTCCATTATTTGTCAAATTATAATTTTTTTTATATAATTTTAAGGATTGGGAATACCAGATGTAATTGAACTTTGTCAGGATCTTGTAAATGTCAAGTGGACTCGTCCAGGCCTGATCAAACTAAACGGACAAATGTGTTCTTGACCCCTCTTGTTATACCAGTGCCATGCCATTAGTGAAACATTTCATAGTAATTTTGACTTGGCAGCAGGAATTGTTCTAAGCTGTTAAAGAGAGAGGTGGTTTTGCTAACCATAAAATTAAGTTATAATACTGAAAATGGCCAGTCTGCTGTGAGCAGCAATGTGAAATTTGTAAAGGTGCTAGTACACTTGTGCTATACAGTAATGTAAATCATGCAAATTTTCAAGATTTATTTGAATGTTCATTTCTGTACAGTACTAATAGTTTGCAGTACAGTATATCAGTAAAGACTGCAAAAGGGTAAGCTGAAGTTTGTAATAAATTACAGTATTGTTCTGGTATGTTTTTTAATCAAGTGTGGGGAAATTTGAATTGTTCTGGTACGAGAAATTGCAAATGTGTATCTGTATGTCTGCCTTATCTGGCATGGGGTCCTTCACACAATTTGGATGAGCGAGCTTAGACTGTATTATAAATCATAGTGGCTTGCAGAAAGTTCACTTTCTGTGTATGGAACATCAGTGAAGTTCTGGCAATTTAGTAAAAATTTACTATGCATTATAACTACTCTAGAGGACTGGCTAAATTTGCTCAAAAGGTATTTGAAAAGTACTGTACAATGATTGCCATGTACTCTCCTAGTTGTGCTTACGGGGGTTGAGCTTCGGTTCTTTAGTCCCAGCTCTAAATGGTAGACAGATGTAGAGATTCCTGAAACCAGTTAGTTTGAATGGTCTTGGCATAGAATGTAAAAGCCAGTTACCCACAAATCCCCCACCTATGTTTATACATGAGGTGGGCGCTTAAGTGGGGCAGAGAAATCGCACTGATAAAACTCGCATTAAGACTTGTCTTTCTGTGATCCTGTCCAGTGTAACATTTAAAGATAATGCCTAGATAGAACTGGTTCCTTCTAATAAGAAAATTGCAAATACTGTAATCTAAATTTATATTCTTAGGTGCAGTCTGTGCTGAAGTAACCTCTTCAAATGTGGGGTCCTCGCTAAAAATGCTTTTAATGGTAAGTAATGTTTTATCTAAAATTTTAGCTATAGCTTCAATATTTTGCCAATTGCATTGCCAAAATTTAGTCTCTTGTAGACTGGTCCTTTGCCCTCATAATTTAAAATGAAGTGCTAAAAATCTTAAATTTTGTAAGAGCTAGATTGCTAATGTTACCTTTCCTTTAAAATACTTTTAATGTAAATGGTATTGCTTATGCAAGTTGTCATTAAATGTGGCTTCATTTTTAGGCTTTAAAGACTTGCCTTAATGTGGTTTCCTGATGTTAGTAACTGGGTTTGATGTAGCCAGTTGAATGGTTCATAATTTGAATTAGTAATTTAATTTACCCAGTATAAAGACCATTTATACCAGAACTAAATGCTAATGGATAATAAAGTATCCTCCCAGAGCCTTAGCAGGATACTGAATGGTTGGGTAACTAGTATTGTTCCAAAATTATGGGAAATGAACCATCATTCCAGTTTGTGGTTATCTGAAGTAGATAGGTCCCAGTAGCTTTATTAATGTGACATTGTGGTGATTGTTTAGGGATGCATACAAGATCCTTGCATTTTGGAAAATCCTGGAATGTTGGAATAAAGTTCCTTACCTACAGGTGCTGGCATAGGCTTTCATAATTTGCACAGAATGTAATGTTAGTATTTGGCATTGTATCAATCTTTTAAACTACAGTAGTTTTGTTAATAAATGATGACAAATTTCGCCCCTATCGTAATTGTGTTGACGATTGAATTAGTCTTTCTGAACCCAAAGAATTCTTGGCTATTTGCCTTATGTTTATGAACAAACGCTGAATGTATTTTTCTTTTCAGACACATCAATATGAAGAATATAATTACAAAGGGTAAATATTTCTTTTTAGTTTCCAGCATATTGCTGACATTTCTTTTAAGGGGGCTTTAGTTCCAAATATGCCCAAAAATATGCAATAAGTGAAAACTAGTTCGATTTCAATTAAACTTTTTTGAAGAGTTGTGTATGGAAAGGGTTTCATCTGGTCCAAGTATAAGCATTGTAGCATAGGGAGACAAATGTTCAATTGTCAAATTTTCCAAAAATGGTAAAATATTAACACCAAACACAAGTGTCAACTGAAATCATGTATGACTTATCACAATAGCATATAATAAAAATATTTAATAATTCGTTTTATAAAAGAATTAAACTATTTTTGTTTAGCGGACGATTTTCATCACTTGTACACCTGACTGCACGTAAACCTATCTGTAAGGGTACCAATTTTGGAGGAAATTGGTTGATGACAACCTCTCACAGATGACAGCACCTTACTTTTTTACTTGTTTATTTTAAAGTAACAAATTTTTTTGACTTATTTTTTATTCAATTTACAAGAAACTTGTACCTTGTATGTACAGTAGTTTTTCTACAATCTAGTATGAGCTTATTCCAAAGTTCATTTATTGAATTTATAATAGTAATAAACATGATATATTTGCATAATTTTGGGGAACTTTGACTATTTGTATTAGTGAAACTAGACATTTTGGAAAATCTGCCGAATCCTATCCTTTATCACATTAGCATATAAGTGTCGTCAATAGAAATGATTTCATTTGAAACTTGTGGTTGGAATTTCTTATTGAAGCTTAAAATTTGTTAAAAAATCACGCTCTTTTTAGGCTGAAATACTAAAGCGTGGTACAGTTGCAGCACTTCATATACAACTACCTGTAGTCAAAAAATTTGACTGACTAACGTTTAAGGGGCCACTAGTTCATTTTTTAATGTACAGTATTTGAAAAGTGAAATAATTTTGTACCATAAATGGACATCATGTATAAGCCTGTACTTGTTGTTTAGAACATGGTACTATAGTAAAGACCTTTTCCTATGAAGATTTCAAAAGTGAGACCTTTAGTATGATCAAGGTAACATGTAATAAAAAATATTTATTTTGTTTTATCGATAGTGGATTATGTATTTTCTAGATTGTTCGTTATTTTTTAAACAAAATCATAATCTACAGATGTTTGATGGTAAAACTGCTGCACTTGTGGACATGACGGATGGTTTGCCTAAGCAGATTCTTGGTAAGAATTAACTTGAATTCCTGCTTTAGTGAGCTTGAGGCTTTTATGATGATACGATGACGAGTCTGACCTGTTTCTGAATTGGGGATGTGTTGAAGCTTGTGGCTACGTTCTGTGGCGCGGCTTCAGCCTCCCCAAGGAAGTTGCAGTTAAGAGATGTTTTTTGAGGCATTTGTCTGAAGCATATTATCAGTGTTGCAAGTTTGACATAATGTGTATTTGTGGATTAATGTTGAAACTATTTGCAGGATGTGCAGTTAGGATCATCTGTGCTGATGAACAAAGGTGAGTTCTTGTCCATTTCACCTATTGTGTAATATTGGTTATATAAATTGGCCAAATTATGACATTGATGCTATTGCTCGAGGAGGTAGATGTCAGTTTAGAACATAGAGGGTAAAGCAGTAGATAATATATTAATTTTAAATGTATTCCTGGATGTGGCATATAGCTCTAGATTAGAGATGATTTTCGGGGCTTAGCATCCAGGTCCTCAACCAGGCCTCCCTTTTGTTACACACCCCAGGAAGCATCCCGTAGCAGCTGTCTAACTCTCAGGTATCTCTACTGCTAGGTGAACAGGCCATCAGGGTGAAAAACTGCCAGTTTGTTTCTATCTCCACCAGGGATCGAACCCAGAACCTTAGGACTATGAATCCAGAGTGGTGTCCTCCCGGCCTATTGAATGATTTGTAGATAAACAGAGATTTAGTGAAGGAGATTTGTGGGTGTGGCTAGATTAAATTCTATTAGTTAAATCTGAAGTTTCTAGTATTTAAGTGTACTCATTGCATTACTTTTGATAATATGGCAGGTATTGTATTCTAATCTAATCCGTAGTTTTAATTAATGATGAGATTGTCACGACGGTCTTCAGGCATCCAACGCTTAACTAAGGTGATACCCGTTGACTACTGATCAGATAATTTATGCAATGCTAGTTTTGCTCCTGACAGTATTTTAAGTTTTCTTTTCTTTTACAGTTTCCATCATTTGCAAAGTGCAGTTTCTCCTTAGTACCTGTAAAATGCTTCGGGAACCTCTCTCAAAGGTATGGTGAAATCGTACAGTTGTAATCTAGGCAAAATGGTTAATAGTGTAATTTTAATGTTGGGATTGGTGAATTAACAAGGGTAAAGATTCAATGGGCGCTTGATGGGCTACTCGTGCCTGTACCACCTCTTGTGATGGCTTAATCTTTAACAGCAATGGGCACTGTTTATGATTGAAACTGATTGCCCCTTTTTAATGAGCGTAAGTGTTCTATAGTTAAATTTGTAATGAAGGGTTGTGGTCTAAAAATATTAAATTTTTTGCCTGTCTGTGCAAATCATTACATAGTTTTTATTTCTAGATTTGTTCTCTCCATTTGACAAATTACTATAGTTCCTTGGTTTTAATACACAAGATTAATGATGACTCTTATCCCGAAACTGAATACTGATTGTTAATAATAGATCTGAGGGTACTTTACACTTTATTTCTTAGTTTCATATTTCTAAGTTATTAATTATTTATTTCTTGACTAGGAAAGGTCAGAACCAGGAATGCAGAATGTCTGGTAATGATTTACTCTAGTAAAGTAGAAGACCTTATCTGTGAGCTCCATCCTTGCTATATACCATTACTTGCATAACTACTCACACCATTGAAGCAGTTTTAACTTGTGTACTATTACTAACGAACTGGTTGATCACCTTTAATATTTTACCAGACTTGCATGTTGTATTGCATTAGATTGCATGTGCAGAATACTAAATTTAATGTTTGTATTGTTAGTCTGAAAAAAATTGCATAAATAAGACCAAGAATGTAAATTCTGAAAAACGCTTAATGGATATTGTGATAACTTTCAGCTGACACGTGGAAAGTGTGTTGCAATGTTTTATCTGTAGCAAGAATTTAACTTACAAAATTTAACTTACTGTAGTGCTCCTTGAGGGTCAGGGTTAACAATGGTATTACTGGACATATCATGGTTTATATGCTTTGAAGTGCACTCATTATAACAATGGTCTTATTGAACGGCTTCTCTTCTGGCCACCTATATACAGTGTGTGTATATATGGTTAATTATGTAACTATAACTGAAGAAAAAAGATTTTGCTCTGCAATGTAGCATCGTAGTTTATGAATCTGCTTGAACAGATCTAGATTCCTTCCACAATGCATTTTATTTTAAATGTAGTTTTATTGAGAAAATGTAAATTTTGATGTACAGTTTAAGTTGCATGGTGTCTGCACATGGTAAACTATATAATGGAACACATTGGGTCCTAATCTGTTTGAACAAGGCCAATTGGAAAGTAGAATACTGTTTGCCTTGAAACCTGTTTCTGACTATTGTTTATCCCTCTTATAAAGTGTACCAGTGAAGCAGTACTCTTGAATTACTTGTACTGGACAATTTTAATTCTATTTCATTCTGGTATTTTTGTAGTTTCTTGAAAAATGAAGGTGCTATAGGTTCTAGTTGACGAGGAACAAGTCATTTTTATATATATAAATGGCCATTTTTGTAACCTATAATTTTCATAATTTATGAAATTTCGCCCCTATCGTAATTTGTGTTTACGATGGGATTAGTCTTTCTGAATATAAATAGTTTACCTATTATTTATGTCAGTTGCCCCACAAATCCCCTGCCTATGATTATTATGCATCAGGTGGGCGCTAAAGTGGTGCAGAGAAACGACACTGATAAAACTCGCATTAAGAATATCTTTCTGTGATCCTGTCCAGTGTAACATTTTTTTTATAGGTAAAGCTGTTTCTTTGTAATAAAAGAATTGCAAATCTTAATTTATATTTTTATTTGCAGTTTAATGCTGACCTGGGTTAAAATGTCTGGTCCTGACTGAAAGAGGTTTTTAATGGTAAGTAATGTTTATCTAGGATTTTTGCATATAGCTTCAATAACTTGTAAGAGACATTGCCAGTTGCATTGTCACAACTGTCACAAAAAGACTAGTCCTCCTACCATACTTTGGCCTTATTTAAAATGGTACCCAATATCTTAAATTTTCTAGTAGAGCTAGATTGCTTGTATACCTTTAATTAAAATGCTGTGGCTCTAAATGGTATTTAGTTATGCTAGTTAAGCTGTCATTAAATGTGGGTTAATTTTTAGACTAAAGCTTTCTTATGTGGTTTCCTGATAACTGGATTTGATGTAGCTTGTAGAATACTAATTCAAATTATGGACAAGACTTAATTTACCCAGTATTAAGACTATACTTATACCAGAACTTAATGCTGATGGATAATAGTATGCCGAGAGCCTTAACAGGATACCGAATACACTGTAGTTGTGTAACTAGTCTTGTTCCAAAGTGTAAAGTGAACTTTCATTCCTGTTTGTGGTTACTTGAAAGATTAGTCCCAGAAGCTTTATTCATGTGACATTGCAGTGAATGTTTGAAGATGCATACAAGGTATTCTTGCATTCTAGAAAATATTGGAATTAAAAATTACTCGTATGCCTTAAAGGCAATAACACCACACTGGGCTTCTTTGAATCGACTGTTGGCTTCAATAACTTTTCACAGCAGGGCGTTGGTATTTTATTTATAAGGTAGCATATTTATCCATGTTCCTGACCTACAGGTGCTGACCCAGGTTTTCATAATTTACACAGAAATGTAATGTTAATGGATTATTGCATCTTTTTTCCAAACTATTTTTTCAATGATGACAAATTTCGCCCCTATCGTAATTGTGTTGACGATTGAATTAGTCTTTCTGAACCCCAAAAATTCATGGCTATTTGCCTTTTTTGTTTGAGCAAACACTGAAGGTTTTTTTTTTGTTTCAGACATGTTGACCTGAAGATTATAATCATGAAAGGTAAATATATTTGTTTCGAGCATATTGTAGCCAAATTTCCCTAATTAAATGTATTTGAAAGGTGGGAAATAATTTTGTACCATAAACAGACACATGTATAAACTTGTACTTGTTGTTTAGAAAGTGGTACTATAGTAAAGACCTTGTCCTATGGAGGGTTCATGAATGAGACCTTTAGTATGATCAAGGTAACAGTGCATAGTTTGCTTATTGTAAACATTTAAAAATTTGTAGCATTTGGTTTTTATCATTTTTTTGCCTAAAATAAAAATGCTACATAATTGTTTAGACTGATTTGCATTGCTTGAACTTGCAGATTTGGGCAAGGGTTTCTTATAAGTGGGTTACAGATTTAAATAAACCTTCATATAGGTGAATGTCAATTGTTAGAATTTCGGGTAGATTTTAGTGGCAAATGCTTGGATATTCAAAGTGCTATAATAGTGGTGCTATAAACTGGTTAGTATATGTAGTATTAAGGGAGGGGTATATTCATGGATAGTGTGGGTATTTGTTGGTAAAGGCCTACTTAGCATGAAGTAGCATAGTAGTAGGGTAGATGCCACTGAGGATGTGGTAGTAATTAGTGACTGTACATAGGGTATTAATCCTTTAAAGCAATACTTGCGAATCGTAAGCCTTTTCCTAATACCCATTCGGCATAGTGAGGCTGGAGACTGATGGCCCCTTAAATGTTCAATATAGTGATGAATGATCTTTGGTAAATGGTGTTAGTGATTATTTTTAAACTAATCATGATCTTTACAGATGTTTGACTGAAGCTGCTGCACTTGTGGAAATGATGACGGATGTTTTGCCTTGGCAGATTACTGGTAAGAATATAACTTAAATACCTGCTACTGTGAGCTTTAGGTTTTAATGATGATACGATGACGAGTCTGACCTGTTTCTGACTTGAGGATGTGTTGAAGCTTGTGGCTACGTTCTGTAGTGCTGCTTCAACCTCCTTGAGGAAGTTGCAGTCAAGAGATGTTTTTTTGAGGCATTTGTCTGAAGCATATTACTAATGTTGCTTGTTTGACATAATGTGCGTATTAATTAGTGGATTAACGTTGAAACTATTTGCAGGATGTGCACTTAGCAAGACACTTAGGACTGTGCTGATGAACAAAAGTGAGTTGGGCTATCTTTTTTTTTTTTTTTTTGTAACTAGTTCATCAAGTTACTTTTTTTTTTTTTTTTTTACAGTTCAGTGTTGTAGTAATTGGATAAAGGGTTAAAAGTATTTGTTTGCAATAAATACTGTTGTGATTTCACTTTAATGTGAAGCTAAGAATACATTAAAATGTGATCATTATACCAGTTGCTCCACAAATCCCCTGCCTATGTGTATTATACATCAGGTGGGCGCTAAAGTGGTGCAGAGAAATCACACTGATAAAACTCCCATTAAGGATATCTTTCTGTGATCCTGTCCAGTGTAACATTTCCTTGGTAATAACTAATGCCATGTATTGTAATTATATTTTACATGTTGGTGCATAGAATATGTATACCCCAAAATGTGTTCCTTTTCATGGAACTTTAAAAAGTATTGTATGCAACATTGGCTGGGATGGGGCAAGAAAGATGTTCAGGTGCTAATAGTACAGTGGTGTGCTCCAACCAAGGAGTGGCAGGTGCTACTAAAGGTACTTAAAAAGAAAGTGACTGATTAGACCGAAGAGTTTTTTCCAGTAATCAGTAGTGTAACTAGAAGAATTCATAGTAAATTGTACAGAACAGCTATGCTCAGATATAGTACTTATATAATGTATAAATATTAATAATATTCATTCATGCTCTTATTACTGTTTACATACACGTCTTTACATTAATCCGATTGCAAACTAATAAACTTCGGTGGGTGTGGTGATAAAATCAAAATGTAGCACGAAGCAAAAAGATATGAGCAGACTACACTAGTAATTGCCCTACTAAAAGAATGTCATAATACACATTGAGAATCTGTAAGTGACGAGGATTCATGGAAACATCAAAGTAGCTCGGGAGTGCCAAGTGAGGGTTCAAATCCTCCTTGTGGCTCCTGCAGGTTTTCTTATTCATACATTTTATGGGTTAAACAGTTTGAAATTGAACTAGGTGTGTCTTTTTGGAGGATTTATGTGGTAGTTTAGACTACCAGACATTGGTTAGTGCTACTAGACATTGCTTAGACATTTGTAAGTGCGTAGATGGTGGTTCAAGGTATGGTTGGTGTGGTAGATATACTTGGGAATTTGTAAAATTAGAGGGGGATAGACATGGTCAGTGTGACTAATGCACTAATACAAGGAGTTTTGTGAGTTTAATCTTGAAAAATAGCTTTTATAAGTATCTAACCCTTTCCTGGTACCTACTCTGAAAATAGATGTGGCATAGGCCTGTCTCTCACATAGACAGGTGACTTGTCAGATGGTTATGCTGTATATGGGGGATGTATGAACTTTTAATTGCTAGTTGTAGTGGGGTGTACTGTATCATTAAAATTTTTTCACTCGACAGATGTTGCTTGACCATGGAGCTGCTGCGCCTGATGAAGTGGCATTGGGCATCTCAAGTGAGTTTTGCCAACACTAAAATATTGTGAAATGTGCTATAATGAGCTTAAGGTTTTTATGATGATACGATGACGAGTCTGACCTGGTTCTGACTTGGGGATGTGCTGGAGTTTGTGGCCATGTTCTGTGGTGCTGCTTCAGCCTCCCCAAGGAAGTCTCAGTTAAAAGATGTTTTTTTGAGGCATTTGTCTGAAGCATATAACTAAGTGTTGCTTGTCTAGCATGTTGCATGTATTTGTCAGTGGGCTTATGTTGAAACTATTTGCAGGACATGCAGTTGGGACAACACTACTGATGCAGAACAAAGGTGGGTTGGACTATGTACTTGCCCATTTGTTCCTTGTAGAATGTATAGTACTTAATATTAATAAATTGTCAAATTTGATGTGCATGATAATAGTTCATTGTATTGGGTGGCTTAGCCTACAGCTAGCGCCATGGCTTTTTCCTTTTTTTTTTTGGCTGTTAGTATCCCTATTACAAAAAATTTCAACTAGCCATTTCCTAATATAAATGTTTAGAACTAGAACGTGTCCTAGTTTATCAACATCCATGCTTTGTTTACCCTGAATTAAAAGGTTTGGATGGTAATCTCTTCAGATAGTGCAATCACTGATGCTTATCTACTGAAATAATTGGTCATAGAAAGCTTACATACCAGTCATGGTGTTGAAGATGGCAGAGCAGCAGCATCACTGCAATGCATAAAGCAATAAAAGTCCAGAATTTAGGCACTAATACTTACCCCATTGAATTTCATTGCTAAATTCATGCGTTATTTAATGGGTAATTTCATAGTTTTCCCATTTCAGTCAAACAGGAAACTTGTTAACAGATTAACTATTTATTTACCATATTTATGGATGAAGTTTCTAGTTTTTAATGTGTTCGACCTTGCATTTGGATCCATTAAAAGTATAAATATGTGAAATGTGCTCTTAAGGTGACATTGTGCTTATACTAGAGAAATTGCTAGTTTTGCCAGTTGTAATGTATAGGGTAGTTGAGGATAGAGAATTTTTTAAACTGAATGCGGGTTAGTAATTGATCTGAGGATACTTTACACTTGATTTTATTTAAAGTTTATATTTCTAGTATAAGGATAGTTAAAACCAGGATAGTCGGGTAATGACATCTTCCGGTGATAAGAGAATTAATCTGGGCACCAAGGTAGCCAATTATGGTAATTCCTGCTGCAAACCTTACCTTTGTACAACGGACAGCTGTTTGTACTGTACGGCCTTTTTACAGCCGTTAGATTGCTGGTTAAGTCACATTAGTGACTATGTACCTCTACTTCCTTGTCTACTCGCAATTAGTGATTTTTAACTTTTGTACCATTAACTTACCGGTAGGTTAGTGCGGTATTCCAGAAAATGTTTCATGTTATACTGATGTTAACATCTTGGTTCTGAAGAAAGTTTGCATACACAAACCAGGAATGTAAAGTTTGAAGGACATTTCACGTTTAGATGACAAATATGTTATGTTGCCCAAGAATAAGTTTACTATGCCGAGATCTTTGAGACATTGTTGCACTACTTGTATTTGACATGTTATGTATACTTTGGGAGCTAACATTCCTAAATATATTTTCAGGATCTGCAGTTCTGACGTTGAAGGTACAAACATTGGACGTCGTCATTCCCATTATACTACTCGTGCCTTGACTGTCTGCTAACTGTCCACTACCCTGAAAGATATTCATGGTTTAATTGTATTACAAATGTCTGCATCTTTCCTTTCAAGAACTTTTTTGTTTAGCAATGTAAGACTTAATAAAAAAAATTAAAATCGTTTTGAGTATTGATAATTCCCCTGTAGTTTATTTTTTCATGCTCTACCCCTGGCCATGCTACACCTTTATTACAGAAGCCCCCCCCCCCAGGGAGCCGGTCGGCCGAGTGGACAGCACGCTGGGCTTGTGATCCTGTGGTCCCGGGTTCGATCCCGGGCGCCGGCGAGAAATAATGGGCAAAGTTTCTTTCACCCTATGCCCCTGTTACCTAGCAGTAAATAGGGACCTGGGAGTTAGTCAGCTGTCACGGGCTGCTTCCTGGGGGTGGAGGCCTGGTCGAGGACCGGGCCGCGGGGACACTAAAAAGCCCCGAAATCATCTCAAGATAAGTATATTATATACATATGCATATAATATACATAAATGTGTATATAATACATAATGTGTAATATGTATATCTTATTATAAATATATATATTATATACATATATATGTATTATATACACATGTATATTATGTGTAATATACATATATATATATATATTACACATAATATACATGTGTAATATATATCATATATGTAAATATACATATGTATATATGATATATATTGTGTATAATATACATAAATGTGTATATAATACATGATATATATCATATATATTATATACACTTGTGTATATTATACGCATGTATAATATATACATATTATTTACATATATTATATATGTATATTATATACATGCATATAATATATATCTTATATATGATATTATATACGCATTTATGTATATTATACACATGTATATAATATATACATATGATATATATATTACACATGTATATATAAGATATATATTACACATGTATTGTATGATACATAAATGTGTATATAATACATGTGTAATATGTTATATATATTACACATTATATACTTATGTATATAATATATACATGTATATAATATATTTATATATATTAAATATACATATATATACATGTTATAAATGTATATAATATACATATTATTAAATATGACCGAAAAAGTAAGATTAATAATTCTAACACGAATTTTCTCAATCTTTCGTACATTTCTTTTCACTGTTGGAGGTAAATCAAAAATCAATTCTCCAAAATTCATTTTTATTTCTAGTCTGACGCGACACGAGCGCGTTTCGTAAAAACTTATTACATTTTCAAAGACTTTAGTTTACAAATACACAACTGAATAGAACTTGCGCATCTCTGATTTTATATCTACATTTGAGAGAGGTGGATGGGGTGAGGTGGCATTAATAGGGTACTAATTTCATCAACACAAGACAGAACACGAAACAATGGGTATTGAATAGAAGTGATTGTAGAAAGCCTATTGGCCCATATTTCTTGATGCTTCTATATTGGAGCGGAGTCTTGAGGTGGGTAGAATATAGTTGTGCATTAATTGGCTGTTGACTTCTTGATGTGTAGTGCCTCGCAAACGTCAAGCCGCCTGCTATTGCTGTATCTATCAATGATTTCTGTGTTGTTTACCAGGATTTCTCTGGCGATGGTTTGGTTGTGGGAAGAGATTATATGTTCCTTAATGGAGCCCTGTTGCTTATGCATCGTTAAACGCCTAGAAAGAGATGTTGTCTTGCCTATATACTGTTTTTTTTGGAGCTTACAGTCCCCAAGAGGGCATTTGAAGGCACAGATGACGTTAGTCTCTTTTAAAGCGTTCTGTTTTGTGTCTGGAGAGTTTCTCATGAGTAGGCTGGCCGTTTTTCTGGTTTTATAGTAAATCGTCATTTGTATCCTCTGATTTTTGTCTGTAGGGATAACGTTTCTATTAACAATATCTTTCAGGACCCTTTCCTCCGTTTTATGAGCTGTGGAAAAGAAGTTCCTGTAAAATAGTCTAATAAGGGGTATAGGTGTTGTGTTAGTTGTCTCTTCAGAGGTTGCATGGCGTTTCACTTTCCTTCTTATGATGTCTTCGACGAAACCATTGGAGAAGCCGTTGTTGACTTGGACCTGCCTTACCCTACAGAGTTCTTCGTCGACTTTCTTCCATTCTGAGCTGTGGCTGAGAGCACGGTCGACATATGCGTTAACAACACTCCTCTTGTACCTGTCTGGGCAGTCGCTGTTGGCATTTAGGCACATTCCTATGTTCGTTTCCTTAGTGTAGACTGCAGTGTGGAAACCTCCGCTCTTTTCCATGACTGTTACATCTAGAAAGGGCAGCTTCCCATCCTTTTCCATCTCGTAAGTGAAACGCAGCACGGAACTCTGCTCAAATGCCTCCTTCAGCTCCTGCAGATGTCTGACATCAGGTACCTGTGTAAAAATGTCGTCAATTATTATTAATATTAATAATTAAGATTATTATTAATCTTACTTTTTCGGTCATATTTAATAATATATGTCTACAGGAAAGACTACTACCAAAATATATATATATATATATATATATATATATATATATATATATATATATATATATATATATATATTATATATATATATATATATGTCGTACCTAATAGCCAGAACGCACTTCTCAGCCTACTATTCAAGGCCCGATTTGCCTAATAAGCCAAGTTTTCATGAATTAATGTTTTTTCGTCTACCTAACCTACCTAACCTAACCTAGCTTTTTTTTGCTACCTAACCTAACCTTACCTATAAATATAGGTTAGGTTAGGTTAGGTAGGGTTGGTTAGGTTCGGTCATATATCTACGTTAATTTTAACTCCAATAAAAAAAAATGACCTCATACATAGAGAAAAGGGTTGCTTTATCATTTCATAAGAAAAAAATTATAGTAAATATATTAATTCAGGAAAACTTGGCAAATCGGGCCTTGAATAGTAGGCTGAGAAGTGAGTTCTGGCTACTAGGTACGACATATATATATATATATATATATATATATATATATATATATATATATTTCCCTACTTTTTAGCTCAAAATTGGGCTACTTTTAGCCCAAAAATTTCGCTACTTTTTAGCCCAAAATTTCGCTACTTTGTAGCCCAAAACTGGGTTACTTTTGCTACTTTTTAGCCCAAAATTTCGCTACTTTTAGCCCAAAATTTCGCTACTTTTTAACCCAAAATTTCGCTACTTTTTAACCCAAAATTTCGCTACTCTTTTGCCCAAAATTCGGCTACTTTTAGCCCAAAATTTCGCTACTTTTTAACCCAAAATTTCGCTACTTTGTAGCCCAAAATTTCGCTACTTTTTAGCGTAAAATTTCGCTACTTTCTTGCCCAAAATTGGGCTACTTTCGCTTTTAGCCCAAAATTTCGCTACTTTCGCTATTTTTTTTAGCCCAAAATTGGGCTACTTTCGCTACTTTTAGCCCAAAATCGGGATACTTTCGCTACTTTGTAGCCCAAAATTTCGCTACTTTGTAGCCCAAAAATTCGCTACTTTGTAGCCCAAAATTGGGCTACTTTCGTTACTTGGTAACCCAAAATTGGGCAAAAAAAGCGCCCAAAAACCGCGCGATTTTTGCCAGTAGCGGGCAAAAACCGGGCGATCTTCGCCGCTAGCGGGAAAAATCGCCCGATTTTTGGCCGCTACCGCCGAAAATCGCGCGGTTTTTTGCCGCTAGCGGAGAAAATCGCGCGATTTTTAGCCGGTAGCGGCGAAAATCGTGCGATTTTTGGCCGGTAGCGAAGAAAATAGCCCGATTTTTGCCCGGCACCTGCAAAAATCGCACGTTTATTGGCCGCTAGCGGCGAAATTCTCACGATTTTTGGCCGCTAGCGGCGAAATTCGCACGATTTTTGGCCGCTAGTGGCGAAATTCGCACGATTTTTGGCCTCTAGCGGCGAAAATCGACCGATTTTCGCAGGTAAAGGCCAAAAAATGCGCGATTTTCGCCGCTAGTGGCCAAAAACCGAGCTAATTTTGCCGTTAGGGGGCAAAATTCGCGAGATTTTTGCCGCTACCGGCGAAAATTGCGCGATTTTCGCCGCTAGCGGCCAAAAATCGCGGTATTTTCGCCGGTAGCGGGCAAAAATCGGGCGAATTTCGCCGCTGGAGGGCCAAAATCGGACGATTTTCGCTGCTAGCCGCCAAAAACCGTTCGATTTTCGCTGCCAGCGGCCAATAATCGCGCGATTTTCGCCGGTAGCGGCGAAAATCGGCCGATTTTTGACATCCAACGGCGAAATTCGCCCGATTGTTGCCCGCTACCGGCGAAAATCGCGCGATTATTGGCCGCTAGCCGCGAAAATCGCTCGGTTTTTGCCGCTAACGGCCAAAAACCGCGCGATTTTCGCTGCTAGCGGCCAAAAACCTTGCGATTTTCGCGGCTAGCGGCCAATAATCGCGCGATTTTCGCCGGTAGCGGGCAAAAATTCGGTGAATTTCGCCGCTGGATGTCAAAAATCGGCCGATTTTCGCCGCTGGATGTCAAAAATCGGCCGATTTTCGCCGCTAGCAGCAAAAATCACCTTATTTTTGGTAGCTAGCGGCGAAAATCGCGCGGTTTTTTGCCGCTAGCGGCGAAAATCGCCCGATTTTTGGACGCTAGCGGCGAAAATCGCTCGGTTTTTGCCGCTAACGGCCAAAAACCGCGCGATTTTCGCTGCTAGCGGCCAAAGACCGTGCGATTTTCGCCGCTAGCGGCCAAAAATCGCGCTATTTTCGCCGGTAGCGGGCAAAAATCTGGTGAATTTCGGCGCTGGAGGGCAAAAATCGGGCGAATTTCGCCGCTGGAGGGCAAAAAAAGGGCGATTTTCGCCGCTAGCAGCAAAAATCGCCAGATGTTTGGCCGCTAACGGCGAAAATCGCGCGGTTTTTGGCCGCTAGCAGCGAAAATCGCGCGGTTTTCGCTGCTAGCGGCCAAAAATCGTGCGATTTTCGCCGGTAGCGGGAAAAAATCGAGCGAATTTCGCCGCTGGAGGGCAAAAATCAGGCGATTTTTGGCCGCTAGCGGCGAAAATCGCGCAGTTTTTGACCGTTAGCGGCGAAAATCGCGCGATTTTTGGCCGCTAGCGGCGAAATTTTCACGATTTTTGGCCGCTAGCGGCGAAATTTTCACGATTTTTGGCCGCTA